TAACTTATCTCAATGAATAAATAGCGGAAAACATAGGGGGAAGACTAAGGGGATCATTTAGAACTTAAAAAAAGATCTAACATTTCACAATGATAATAATTTTCCTTATGTATGTTCTAAGACATACTGTCTATCAATTTATATCACAGTCTTATAATTTTTGTTTTCGTACTTTTCCCAAGTTTCGGTTCATCTTTTTTTGTTTTTATGTCAAGCTCTTGGTAACAAATTTTTATTCTTACATGAGTATCTAGGGGTCTTCTCATTATATGCCTAAGTCACATCAATTTATGTTCTTTCATTTTTTCAACCACCGGTAATACCTTAACCTTTCCTTAAATATATTCATTTCTTATTTTATCTATCATTATATGATGAGGCATCCACTTTTACATTCATATTTTTGTTACTTGCATTTTACACTTATGTTGTCTTTATCCTTGCAAATATTCAGTTCGTATAACACGAGACCTTAATGCGATTCTATAAAAAATTTCTTTTAACTTCAGAGGAATTTTATGATCACATAAAAATCTTGATACAACATGGCTTTTGTTTGATATGCTCTAATTTCTTGATTTACATTCAAATCAATCTCTCCATTTTATTTTTTGCAAAAAAATCCTAAATATCTAAAATATTGTTTTTTTATATCTTTCATGTCCAAGCAAAGGCACAAAATCTTCCTCCAACACTACGAGAAAAACAAAAGGACTCCAAACATTCTACCCATTTAAATTTTTTTGAATATGTTTATCAGTTTATCTTTATCTTTTATTTGGCTCATCAAAATTTATTTATTTTTTATGGGGCAGCCTCAGATTATCATAGTTGTTCTAAGAGTTTACATGCATTGCGAAGCCTGTGTGTAGGAAATCAAGAAACGCAGAGACTAGAGAGAATGAAAGGTGGGTAATGAGTTCCTTTTCTTTTTTGTTTCTTGCTCCTTGCACTTCAGATATGCATTTTCATTTTTGCTTCTCTTGTTCATGGAACTCAGGGTCTCTCGTATCTGGAGGAATTTATCAGTTTTATTCTATGTTTCAGTTGATTAAAATAATTTACAGTTTGATATATTCTCTTATATAAAAAAGAGATTATAAATTCCATTCCTTGGTATAATAGCCAATGATTGATTGGCATGACTCCATCGAGTATTTGGATATGGTGGTTGGTATTTGGGTTTGTAGGCTGTGCAAAATAATGGACTAAGAGACTAACTCACTCTTGATTGGTAATCCTGTCAATACTAAAAAAATGTTCCATTTGAGGGGTAGTTGACAATTATAGGATTCACACTTGAGAGAGAGATTGATGAAATTCAAGTGTGAGTAATAAAGCTCTAACATTGGAAAAGAATGAGCTAAGCATAACATATATAAATGAAATGACATATAAATTCAATACCTTAATATTTTGGGTTGAGATATGGTGTCGAACCCTTTGTTGTGGATTTGTTGCTTAAGCCTATTTTTATGTGTGGATGATAGTCTCCCCTAATTGGGCTCCCCTAGCCGATTCCCGACAATGATATCAAAGTCGGGTTGGACTTGGGCTAGCCTGATAATTGGCTAGAGGCGGGTTGAGTACTTAAGCTTGTGGTACTTGGAGAAAAGGAACATACCAATGTTGGGTTTGGATAGACCCATAAAAATCTAATTTCTTAAGATTTTGGGTTAAGACATGGTGTCAAGACCCTTTGTTATGGGCTAAGCATAACATATATAAGTGAAAGGACTAATAAAACTAGGTTTTAATGTTTCTAAAGTGAATGTAGATAAGTTATCTACATTCGCTCCCAAAACGACATCGTTTTAGGTTAAAAAATTAAAAAATTAATAATGAAAAAGACAATTATAATCCTGAAATAAATTATAATTACAAAAATACCATGATTTCCGCCTCAAAACGACGTCGTTTTGGGCTCAATGTAGATAAGTTATCTATATTGACTGTAGAAAAAGCGAACCCATAAAACTAAGGGATTTGCATTTGTCATTTAACATGACACAATAAATTTTCCAACACACATAACATTTTGTGGGGTTCACACTTTTTGAAGAAAAAAGAAAAAAAATTACGGCACACAAAACGAATCTCTATAACATTACACAATCACTTTTCCTATAACATAACTCTTATAAAACCCTAAAACTAATATCTTAAAGTTTTGAATTAAAATATAATGTCTAACCTCTTGTTATGGATTTGTTGCTTAAATTCATTTTGACGTGTGAATAGTAATCTTCCCTAATTGGGCTCTGCTGATTGCTAACCAACATTTATTTCATGCTCTGATGTTTGATGTGAAAGCGACTGCATCGTTCGGCTAAATGTTTGTGATATATTAGGAAGGTTATAATGAGTTTTGTGTAAGTGATTCAGCGTCTGCCTTCAATATTTTTGTTGAATCCAAGCTCCGGAATAATTCTAACGTTTTGTGTTCACCAAAGCCATGTCTAAATTACATAACTTGTAATAATTATTTTATGAATTTTCTATTATTTTTGGGAAATCAATTATTATAATTTCCAACTTTAATGAAACCAAAGCATACTTTTTGCAACACATTGGTTAAACCCATATTATTGAGGTAAAAGTTTGTTCACTAGTTTCAGGCAAGAACATATCATTCAGTTTGGTTTTGGGATCCGGACGGGTGTTAGTGAGATGTCAACGAAAACAATCTCCCTCAAAAATAATTTTTTTTTTATAAATTTTTTTTCTTTTTTTGGGTATCCTCCGTCAAGTACTATTTAATCAACAAAATATTTTACCCAAATTAATTAGAGGTGGGGGTGATGGTTCCAAATAAAAAGAAAGAAAGAAAAAATAAAAAAAATAAAAAAATAATGCCAGAAACTAAAAATTTAAAAGTATAAAAAAATAAAATAAAATAAATAAGAGAAAAAATAAAAAGAAATAAGAAATAAAAAATAAAGAGGTAAATGAATAAATAGAGAAAGATATAGGGAAAAGAAAGACAAAAAAATAATAATTTAGAACATACTAAAAAAGAGTCTAACACTTCACAATGTTAATATTTTTTTTAAAAGTCTTCACATTATATATCTAAACCACCTCAATTTATGTTCTTTCATTTTTTCAACCACTTAATTTTATCTATTCTTATATGAGCCCGCATCCATTTTTACATTCTTATTTTTGTTACTCTTATTTTACATTCATGTTGCCTTTGTCCTTCCAAATGTTGAGTTCTGTATAATATTGGAGACCTTAACGTCATTCTATATAAATTTTCTTTTAACCTGTGAGGAATTTTATGATCAAAACATGGCTCTGTTTAATTACTGTTTTTAAAAACAGTTTTTTAGTTTTCAAAAAAAAAAAACTCGTTTAGTAAAGCCTGTTTTGTAAAAAAGTTTTAAAAACTGTAACTATTTTTTTGTTTTTAGAATCAAATTTAGAGAATATGTCTGAGTTATTTTTTTTTTCTGTTTTGGTTTTTAACTTTCAAAAAAAAAAAAAACAAAATACAATTGTTTTCATAACTATTCTACAAAATAGTTTTAAGAACAAAAAAATCAAAACACATAGACCCATTGTTTTTAAATACTTCGCGTCCAAGCAAATACATAACATCTTCTCGAGAAAAAAAAAGGGACACTAAACGCTCTGCCCTATGATTTTCTAATATAATCTTACCAATTGTGGTACTTTACTATTTATTTTAAAAGATATCATGATTTGTGAAATATTTGGTCGGTTCCTGTTTCTCACTAGTGTTTGACGTCCACAGAATCACTAATATATTTTAACTTTTTTTTCTTTCTTCACTTTGCATTTTTAGAGTTTAACAGAAAGAGTAATCATTCTATCATTTAGGCTCTTTTCACATAAAAAGTTATGGGTCGATCACATCATGTATTTATAACAAGAGATATTATTGTCAAAAAATATTGTAAAATTATAAAAACTTATATTTTCACATTTTTATTAAAGTGATATATGTTAAAACACACATAAAAATTGGTAAAAAAACTTCGTATAAAAATATAAAAACGGTAGAAACACAAGTTTTTATGTTTTTACTTAAACAAAAAAATTGAATCGGGTCAACTTTTAACTCATGACATGGTCCTATATATTTTTATTTAAAAATAAAAAAAAAAAAAATAAATCCTATTTCCATTTTCCTCAAATCAAATGTATAGTATCTTCTTCTAGTTATCTAAAGAAAAAATAAATCCTCACGCGAGGCCACTGTAATTTCATTTAGGAGTTGTTAAACTTTATTCTTTTAATGTTTTGGAACTTGATTATAAGAGTTGTTAAACTTTATTCTTTTAATGTTTTGAAACTTGATTATAAGAGTTGTTAAACTATTTTTGTATTTTTGAATTTATGACTTATATATTTTAAATATGCAGTTATTTATTGAATTTTGAGTAGTGATATATATATATATATGAGAAAATATTTCTATAGCCACTTTAGATAAGGTTGTCTACAGCTACTTCTTTTTAAATAAGTATGACTGGTCATATATTAAAATTACATTTTCTCTCTCCGTCACATCAGCCGACAGTGTCTCAGGAAAGAGAAGAAAAGAATCGCTTTATCGTTATAAGTAAGTATGACCGGTCATACTTAGTTAAAAAGAGGTAACTGTAAATAATCTTATCTAAAGTGGCTGTAGAAATACTTTTATCATATATATATAATTTTATATCTTGACCTTCAGTAATAGAAACACTTTATATTTTATGTCATTTCTACGATTTACATTTCTACTATTTTATTTTAATTTCTGTATAAAAACTTAATATTGACAACATTAATAAGAAATACTTATCTCCAACGACATCGGATTTCTCGAATCCTATAAATCAGATTCCAATAAATTATGGGCTTAGGATCATAGGATATGGGCTGATATTCTATCACCAATACAAACTTATTTCTGTCCAAAACATAGTTGGGCATAGAATATATGACTATGAAGATGACGTAGCCAAATGCTTCTTCTTCACAATCACTTTCCCTCTCACTCTTCTCATTCTATATTCGGATAATGGTGTCTCTGATTTCGCCACCTTCATTTTGCAGCAATCATTTACGCGAAACTGGTTTCTTCTCCGCGCTCTTGCTTCCACCAAGGTATTATTATTATTATTATTATTATTTCACTAATTCTACTTTCTTCTTCGAATTTCCCCTTTCTCTTTTGTTAATTAATGTTCTTTGTCATGTATAGGAGCATCCAATTCCAACATAGATGCAATTTTGGGAATTGTAAATGGAAAAGAGTAGAGTGCAGAGTTATAAGCTCCAATGCATCAGGTTCATCCCCAACCCCAACGACTGTGATGAAGGAACCTCACAAATATTTTGATGAGGTAACCATCACGGTTCGTGCAGGAGATGGTGGCCACGGAGCAATACTAAATCAGAGAGCAAAACAGGAACAGGAAAAGACGAGGAAGAAGAAGAGTTCTTTGAAGAGGGATTTTGATGGGTCCCTTATACTCCCAATGGGTGGTCATGGAGGGGATGTGGTCATATATACAGATGAGGCTAAAGATACATTGCTTGAGTTTCATAACAAAAGCCGTTATCATGCAAAACGTGGTGGAAATGTTGATGCAATGGGTGTTTTGACCTCACAGTTGCACAATGGACTTGTAGCCCCTACTCTGCGTATTCCTGTTCCTGTAGGTTTGTATGCTCTGGTTTATTAATAATTACAACTTGTTTTCACTTTGTTTGTTTAGGGTTTATATCCTACAAGGTGATAGATATTTTTGTAATTATTAGTATAAACGGAAAACATTTCCTTAAACCAAACAGACTCTTAAGGTGTTGTTGGTTTGTTTTCTTGTTTACATTTTGAATTGATATGTTTTTAGTATAGATGCAAAAAATGCCACCTTATTGGTGAAAACACTCTTTAAAAAATTGCATTTCACTCATTGAGTTTGTAATGTGACAGGTACAGTTGTCAAAAGTAAACGAGGGAAGTTGTTGGCCGATCTAGCACGGCCTGGTGATGAAGTTCTTGTTGCGAGGGGTGGACAAGGAGGGGTAATATACATATTTAAAATTATCTTAAAGTGTATTGTTTTTGCAATTGAGTAATGCATCAGACTCATTTCATTCCATTAAAGACATCTGTGGATTGTTTACTGACGGGAAATAAGTTGTACTGTTTCATATTGGTGATAAAATAGAATAATTAGACCAATGGAGTTCATATATGCATACAAATAAATTCATATTTTTGGACACAGTAAGTAAGAATTTGTTTTGCTGTGGACCCAACATTTTATTTCTCTTTTTTCCCCTAGAAAGTACAGAGAGTTAAATGTGGCATATGCCTATCTTTAGTTATTATTTTTGTACTTTACACCTGAATCTGATTTTATTTCTTATTATTTGCCTTCCCAGATTAGCTTGTTAGAAATGCCACAGCATAAAAGGAAAAAGATGATGGCTTTGACAACTAATGTGATGAGAGATGACTCTGATAAGGTAAAGCCTATTGAGCATTTATGTTTGCACTGAAATATTTGCCGTTGTCATCCTTGCAAAGATATCATTACTGGCCTCATATAGTTACAATCTCCTCTGTGCAAATTGAACCTTATACAAGGATTAAATCAACAAGGCTCTTCTCTTGCTGTCTCAATTTAATCAAAGCTGGTTTGAATTTTTCAATGCATAATGAGTAACCAAGTTTTTTTGTCCAAAATTCATGCTCAGTTGTCACTTTGGCTGTGGGTCTAGAACTGTGATTTTAAGTTATCAATTCTCATATTGGGTTTTTTCAGGAAATGAAAATGGCTCTCGAATCTGGAAACAATAGTATTTGAACGTTCTACTTATAGTATTGGCAATTAGATGCCCTTGTATATTAGCAAGTTGTGTTCCTATCTTACTGATTTTTTTACAGGTTTTAGTTCACGGTCAACCTGGGGAGGAAGTTAAGTTGGAGTTGATCCTACGAGTTGTTGCTGACGTTGGTCTAGTTGTAAGTATTACATCTATGCATAATGCCCTATTTAATTAGTAATGGGTTGTCTCACTTTTGTCTTCATAACAACTATCTATTGGATGTTGATGAATGAATTTTCTTATCTCTATATAAATGAAGATAATTTTGAAATTGCTGGGAAACTAAAATATTGACTTTATCATGAGTTAGAGTTATTGAAGAATGTGAATGATGATGTGGGATTGTAGTAAAGCTTCAGGTGTTTCTTTTAGTTTCTTTGTTGTATGAAATTATTGCTGTGATTTGGTGAACAAAAGTGAACTGTATATTGGTTGTTTCTTACTCTTTGTCCAAGTGAAATTTGTTGGCTGTACAATAGGTTATTTATAGTTGAAAACTTCTTTTTAGAAGGTCCTCCAAATGTTTTCATCTATTTGCTCAAGATCAAGTTAATCTTGTTGTAGGGACTTCCAAATGCTGGGAAATCAACGCTTCTGGCAGCCATTACACTTGCAAAACCTGATATTGCTGATTATCCTTTTACAACATTAATGCCAAATCTTGGACGCCTTGGTGGTGATCCCAGCTTGGGGGCAGGGATGTATTCATCCGAAGCTACGTTGGCAGATTTGCCTGGTCTTATAGAAGGTGCTCACTTAGGAAAGGTATAAAATATTTTTGTTTTTGTCAAAGGTCCCCATGTTAAACCATTGAGATGATAAATGAAAGCTTTTATCTTTCAGGGTCTTGGTCGCAATTTTTTGAGGCACCTCAGGAGGACCCGGCTATTGGTCCATGTTGTTGATGCAGCCACTGAGAACCCTATAAATGACTACAGAACTGTCAGAGAAGTATGTATTTTGCCTTTTATGATTGATTGTATTTTTATTTTATGCCATTGAAGACTCAATTTTAACAAAAATTAAGGGTGTTTACTTGGGCAATCGGTTTTATTAACTTGGATTACTTTTGATGGGCTATGATTAGTGGCCCAAGTTTAGCAATATAGTAAATTAGTTAGTTGTTAGAGAAATTATTCTAGAATATTCCTAAAGAATAGAATAAAAGGAGTGTGGGGAGGGGGAGAGGAGATTATTGAGTATTTTGGTAAATTGGGTTTTGGAGAGGATCTCTTGGGATCTCTTTGGCCTTGGTATTTTGGCTTGGGAGTGAGTGAGTTTTTTGGTGCTTTATTTGTTATTCCTTTATATTTCTTGTATCTCTTTGTTATGCTGAGTAGTTAGCGTCTCTGTAATGAATACTGATATAATGGAAGCATTTTACTGTTCAATTGTGGTTATCTTTGTTGTTGAATATTCTGGGTTCCATCAATTTGGTATCAGAGCATTTCCGATCTAGAGAGTGCTTTCTGGTCCAGATCCAGAAAAAAACAAAAAAAAAAAGAAAGAAAAAAAATGAAATGAAATTCAGATTTACTGATGTTCCAAAATTCTTTGGAGAAGAAAGAGATGATGCTTGGGGATGACTGATCGATTTGGAACAATATTTCCAGATCGAAGGAATCAATGAAGATAAAAAATATAGGGAAACGGTGAGAGGGCTAAGAGGGAGTGCGTTCAATTGGTATCAAGGTTGGAAGTGGTTGAATCTTACCGCAAACTTGAAGAAGTTTGAGAAGGCGTTCATAGAGAAATATTTACCGGAAATTTTATTGGTAGATGAAGAGCCAGAATCGGAGCATTCCATTCTAGAAGATAAGGAGGGAATCACAGCTCTAAAATCAGATCCAACAGTTGGTGGTAATGAAATAGCAAAAGAAGAAATCAAAATAGGAGAAGAAAAAGAAACGGCGAAGGAAACAGAAGTTGAAGAGACAGAAAGGGAAGAAGCGGAAGACGCAGAAGTTGAAGGCGAAGAAGAGGATGACAAAGATCCAGAAGCGGATGAAGTAGAGGGAGCAGAAGATAAATACACGAAGGAGGAGATGGGAGCGGTTGTTCGCAGTGGCTTGACGGAAGAAATTGGAGTTGAAATCTGTTTGCACCCATTGATGGATGTGGAACGCATGAAGGCAGGGGCACAACTTTTCGAGGAGAGGGACGAAGTGTTACCTCATAGTCCTGAGCCTGGATTTGCTGAATCAAAAAAGCGATTTGGGCTGGCCAGCAATGGAGCGAGAAAAATGGGTCAACCCGCATTAATGAACAAACCCATTAATCAGCAAAGGACAAGTGTGGACCGAGGTAATGGGTTGGGTCTTAACACATGTCAGGGGCCTACTAATTCCCAACGGAGGTCCAATAGTATGGGGGGAGATCGAGTTGGGCCTCACCACAGTCCTAAATCACCAGCGGCCCAAATCATTAAACCAACCCATGAAATACAATCTTCAGCAGTTAGTGTGGGCAGTGTGAACCCTAATCGATTCATAGGGGCAACAATCGACAAAAACAATTCCACCCAAGGCAGAGTGACGACGGCGAGCGGCGGCCAAAAACACCGACGAGGAACGCGATGTGGAAGACTGACTCAAGAGGAGCTGGACTTGAACGGACAGAACGAGGGGCTGGTTTATGAACAAGACGGGTCGTCGGAGGTGTTAGAAATAATATTAATTTATAATATTAATTTATTATTATTAGAATAGTCTAGATTGTGGGCTTGGCCCATTAGGTCATTCCGTTAGGTCTTTTAGTCTCTATAAATAGAGAGCCTCCTTGTACAGACTTACACACTTGAATATACAATATATTTCAGATTCAATTTGGTATCAGAGCGAGCAACCAATTACCTCCATACCTGCGGATCGTCCTCTCCTCACATACCAGCGTCGTCAGCCTGCACCTCCTCCGACTTTGCCTCTTGATGACTCATCGCCCTTTCCTGTCGGCTCTTCTCCTCCGGATCCTCCATCAGAGACTCCTCCCATTGCCCTTTGGAAAGGTATTCGATCCACTCGAAATCCTCATCCCCTTTATTCTTTCTTGAGTTATGACAGACTTTCTTCACAACATTTTACTTTTGTTTCTAGTCTCTCTTCTGTTTCCATCCCTAAAACCACAGGTGAAGCACTATCTCATCCAGGGTGGCGCCAGGCGATGCTTGATGAAATGCAGGCACTTCACTCCAATGGCACTTGGGATCTTGTTCGTGCTCCTCCCGGGAAGTCTGTTGTTGGTTGTCGATGGGTGTTCACAGTTAAAGTTGGTCCTGATGGCACTGTTGATCGCCTTAAAGCTCGCTTAGTGGCCAAGGGATACACACAGATCTTTGGTCTTGATTATGGGGATACCTTTTCTCCTGTTGCTAAGATGGCTTCTGTTCGCCTGTTTCTTGCCCTTGCCGCCATTCATCACTGGCCCCTTCTCCAACTTGATATTAAGAATGCTTTTCTACATGGTGACTTGCAGGAGGAAGTTTATATGGAGCAACCACCAGGTTTTGTTGCTCAGGGGGAGAGTTCTGGAATGATATGTAAACTTCGAAAATCTTTATATGGCCTGAAGCAATCTCCTCGGGCCTGGTTTAGCCGCTTTAGTTCAGTTGTTGAATCCTTTGGCTTAATCAGAAGCAAAGCCGATCATTCTGTCTTTTACCGGCATAGCTCTTCTGGCCAGTGTGTTTATCTCCTGGTCTATGTTGATGACATTATCATTACAGGCAGTGATCAGACCGGGATTGATCAGTTGAAAGAGCATTTATTCAATCAATTTCAGACCAAAGATCTTGGCAGACTTCGATATTTCTTGGGGATCGAAGTTGCACAGTCTAGGCGGGGCATTTCCATCTGTCAGAGGAAGTATGCACTGGATATCCTAGATGAGACTGGCATGTTAGGCTGTAAACCCATTGATACACCTATGGACCCCAATGTTAAGTTATTACCAGGACAGGGGGAGCCACTGCCAGATCCTAGTCGCTACCGCCGATTAGTTGGAAAATTGAATTATCTTACTGTGACAAGGCCAGATATCTCCTTCGCAGTGAGTGTTGCAAGTCAATTTCTTGATTCTCCCTGTGACTCCCATTGGGATGCAGTTATTAGAATTCTTCGATATATTAAAAGGGCGCCAGGAAGAGGTTTATTATATACAAATAAAGGGAGTTCAGAGATCTCTAGTTATTCAGATGCTGACTGGGCAGGTTCTCCTTCAGATAGACGATCCACCTCAGGGTATTGTGTTCTCTTCGGAGGAAATTTGATCTCTTGGAAGAGTAAGAAGCAAACTGTGGTCGCCAGATCCAGTGCGGAGGCAGAATATCGGGCAATGGCAAATGCAACCTGTGAGCTCATCTGGCTGAGTCAATTGCTGAAGGAACTCCATCTCTGTGAACAAAGGCCTATGAAGCTCATTTGTGACAACCAAGCCGCTTTGCATATATCCTCTAACCCAGTCTTTCATGAGAGGACCAAGCATATAGAAATTGACTGTCATTTTGTTAGAGAAAAGATCCAGTCAAGGGAGATCGAGACAGCATTTGTCAATTCCAATGATCAACTTGCGGATGTATTCACTAAAGCTCTTAGAGGTCCTCGAATAGATCATATTTGTAACAAGCTGGGAGCTTTTGATATATACGCACCAGCTTGAGGGGGAGTGTTAGAAATAATATTAATTTATAATATTAATTTATTATTATTAGAATAGTCTAGAATAGTCTAGATTGTGGGCTTGGCCCATTAGGTCATTCTGTTAGGTCTTTTAGTCTCTATAAATAGAGAGCCTCCTTGTACAGACTTACACACTTGAATATACAATATATTTCAGATTCAATTGGAGGCAACAAACGACAGTGACAGGCGCGAGTGGTTCCTGTGGTTGCCGGCGGCAGAAGTTCTACTGAGCTTTGGAATCTTACAAAGACGATGGATGGAGGTTGTGGATGGTGATGGAGTAATGTTAAAATTACTGAGCTGTTCATTTGGGTCAAACCCAATGGGTTTCACCATGGGGTTACACGACCAGACACATTTAGGCTTGAATAACGGTGATTGTGGCCCGAAATTTTTGTTTGGAAGGGGCCAGCAAAACAAGAAAAAAACAGAGCATGGGAAATATGGAGATATACCTTGTTTCATGGCCAGATATGTGCAGTATGGAGAGAAGGGGGAAAGGGGATCCGACAATTTTTCAGTTTCAAGAGTGACGGGATCAATGTTCTTTAAGCAATGGGACCCTGGTAGATGTTCAATTACATCCCCTATTCTCTTCCTCACCTTGAGGACAAGGTGAATTTTGAAAGGGGAGTATTGATGGGCTATGATTAGTGGGCCCAAGTTTAGCAATATAGTAAATTAGTTAGTTGTTAGAGAAATTATTGTAGAATATTCCTAAAGAATAGAATAAAAGGAGTGTGGGGAGGGGGAGAGGAGATTATTGAGTATTTTGGTAAATTGGGTTTTGGAGAGGATCTCTTGGGATCTCTTTGGCCTTGGTATTTTGGCTTGGGAGTGAGTGAGATTTTTGGTGCTTTATTTGTTATTCCTTTATATTTCTTGTATCTCTTTGTTATGCTGAGTAGTTAGCGTCTCTGTAATGAATACTGATATAATGGAAGCATTTTACTGTTCAATTGTGGTTATCTTTGTTGTTGAATATTCTGGGTTCCATCAACTTTCCACTTAAAAGTCATCTATTTGTAAGTCTTATTATGATGTTGTGTTGTTGATGATCACAATTCTGTTGTTCGTTGTTTATTCTTTACCGTTTCTTGTCTTTTGGGATGTTTGAGGTAAAGTAATGCCAATAAATCTTATTCCCTATATGAGCAGGAAGTAATCTGTGTTCAGACCAGCTGTTCTTGTTGTAATCTGTTTCCATCCCATACACCTTGGAGTGTTTTATCTTACTTTTGCTCTCTCCATGGTAATTCTGTTTTGCAGGAGTTGCGCATGTATAATCCTGAGTACCTTGAACGACCATACATTGTTATTTTGAATAAAATTGATCTCCCAGAGGTATGTGGTTTCCTATTCCCAGCCTCTATCTGGGTTAAGTATTGTCTTTTAATTTCCTATTATCTTGTAAAGTGAGGCCCAGTGCATGGAGCTCCCATCATTGTTGGGTCTGGCAAGAGTCATATGTACTTAGTGTTAAGGGGAAGTGCTATTTTTACGACTATAACCCAAAACCACTAGGGCACAATGCAGCTACTTTATTGTTGAGCCAAGACTCACCCTTTTTCCTGTTGTCTTGTAATATGCAAAATTAAGGCACGTAACTAACATGTTTGCTCATTATAATTTCAGGCGAAGGATAGACTTCCATCATTGACTCAAGAAATTCTAAGAATTGGCAACGATGGTGCAGCTTCTGAACCAGAACCAAGCTCTGAAGTTCCAGCTCAATTATTGTCTGATGAAAGTGACAGGAAGGAAAGAAAACTCGAGGACTATCCACGACCTCTCTCTGTTGTTGGAGTTAGTGTTCTGTAAGTGCTTGACATTTTGTTTTATATTTGTTTTGAAAGTGTTTTTCTTCTTTACAGTTCAGACTGGTGCAGTAATTGTTTGGACAATTTATATCTTACTTTTCATATTATCCACATTGGCTTAGGTCAGATTTTCATGTTGCTTCTTGCAGAAAAGGTATCAGGATAAATGAGATGTTAAAGAAGATAAGGGCGGCTTTAAGGAAGTGCACAGATTCCAATGAATCATTGCCTTCGAGTGTGCTACCATGAGATTTGCGTGCTATGCTTTGTTAAACAACATTGCAGCTCAACGAGGCTTTCTGGCTGAGACTATACATAAATTGGTTCTGATATTAATTTGGGTTTGCCAGAGAACAAATATTAAGCAAATTACCCGTTGGTTTTGGAGAAAATACACATCTGAGACGATGGAAGCAATATGAGTTCATAGTCCAAGTTCCTCAACCTCATATAATTGTAAGCAAGATTGGCAATTTTGCATAACAAGTTATATCATTTGTAGAAATTTTGTAAATTATTTAAGCAATATCAATGACTAGTTATATTAGGAAAAGAATCATGATATATCTGCTAGCCCCATATTAGCATGATAAGTTTTATAAGAGATAATGTCATGCATGATGGAGGTGTTCAAGTACCTTCTAGATAAATTGTTAGGACAAACAAAACAAAGTACTCTATTGAGTATCAAATTATGTACAACTCAGGCCTCTATGATGGCTGTCTTGTTTTCATTTTGCTCAAATTTTTATTATTGGGACTTCTATGAAATGATAGCATGAAAGCAACGGTTGTTCATGCACAGATGTATACTCTTTCACGTGAACTGATTAATATAAATTGCGACCATATTTTCCTTGTCATGGTAGTTATTTCTATATAACTGGCACACGGTAGTTTTGCCAGCTGGAAGCAAAATGGTGCTTACTAAGCCTTTGTTTGGGTAGGAAATTTTGAATTTAGTGCATCAGAATGTTTGGACAGAGATCTAAGTTGAAGTTTGTCAATGCACAACATATCCCAGTATAAACAAACAAACAGATAGAAGTTAAGCTATAAACAAAACTCCCAGGAGTTGTGGTTTTGGAAACCTCAAATTGGACAAAAAAGCAATATGTTGTAACAGTTTCTTTAAGCAATTTAAATCGCTCTTCCCAAATAAATCATAAATTTTTTAAGGAATTTATTATTCTTATGTTGCATAAAATATAATCTATTTCCTACACACACAAATTTAAGATGAGTTTCACTTTACTTTTTCTCTCTCTTTCCTTAAAAATGGACCCCACCTGTACCAATAAGTGTGTAGAAGATAACTCTTATCTTCTACTACATAAGAAAATTATTACCCATTTTTTAATGTATGCAAGTATTAAATAAGCTAGTCCGCCTTTCTCTCCTAACTCCTTAAACACAGTCTCTCCGTCCACAGCTGTGTTACCTTTGGCTATCCATATTCCATAGTATCGTGGCTCTCTATTGTGATGACATCGAGTCAGTTGAGTCATTTTTTTTTTATTTATTTATTTATATGCACATAAACATGCTTTTTGGAGGATGTTTTGCCCAGTTCTTTTATGGGAAATACTACTTTCATTTTATATAAGATAGTTATCTCATTTTGTTTCACTTCAAAAATCGCACCCCTTCTTTTTTCTTTTTTGCTTTTTAATGGTGGGCTCCACTTCGATTCTCTCTATAACATAAGAGAACTACTCTCATGTAACATGAGAGTAATATTCCTCTTCTTTTATATATAGACTTATTATCCCCTTAGGGAGTGTTTGGCAGAGTAGAAAAAAAATTTTATCAGGAAAATACAATTACTAAGAATGTGGTGTGAAAATGAGTTTGGTAGGAAAGTTAAAAAAAACTTGTTTGGTAGGCCGAAATATTACCGAGAAAATTGGATTAAGTTTACTGAGTCTATGTTTGGTTAAAAATAAAATATTTATGAAAAATGGGTTGAAAATACGAAAATAACCTTTTTATTATTTTTGAATTTTTATCTTTAACTTTATCCAACTCCACACACTTCCAATGCAAAAGTATTCTTCATAAGGTACTCTCTTAGCAAAAAAGCGCCAGACAACAACTGCAAATGCAAAAATTAGTACTGGAAATTGCATTCCGTCACCTGGAAAATGCTTCAGAAAAGACATATGCAAAAATATGGATAAGGGTAGTTTGAGCATAAGTCTCAAGCATTTACATATGGATAAGGGTATTATGGTCAGATTTTTCGTTGCCTTTTATCCATTTAGCAGTCTAACTCACAATACCACATTCAAAGTGATTTTATTGAACAGTGATTTTCCTTTCGTTTTACACACAAATGTCAAAGTCTAGGGAAATGTATTTCCTATCAAAATTTTGTAATATTCTGAACCAAACGTGGAAAACAAAGAACTATGATACCTACATATAAAAATATTAGTTAGATATATCTAAGTTAAAAGAATATATATATATATATATATATATATATATATATATATACGAGTTCGATTTTTCTGCGGCCGCTTTACGTACAACAATAATAAATTTTTCATATATATATATATATATATATATATATATATATATATATATATCTGAAAGTATTAAATGTGGAGAATCATAATCATATACATGTCATTGCTGCACGTAGGGGTGCTAAACAAACCAGGGGCCTTTGGCTCGGCTCGTGAAAGCCTGAACTTACATGTCTAAAATCGGTTGTTGGCACATGCTTGGACTTTTAAAAAGCTCGTTTAATAAAAAAAGTCTCAGGCTCCAACTCAAAAGCTCGTCCTTAAAGCCTCTCAGGCTGGCCTAGTATATTATTTTTTATTTATATTTTATATTTATATTTTATATTTTTTATACTACTTGTAATAGCCATCTCTTTCTCCTCAGTCCATTTCACTCCATTTTATTGGTTAAACAGACTTTTTGAATGATTTTGTTCTATATTATGTTGTTTGAATATAAATTGAATTTATGAATATTTATGTAATTACAAGGGTTGTTGATTGTATATTCTGTTTAAATTTTTGTTGCCTTGTTTTTTTTAAACAGGATAACAGGCTAAACAAGGCTTTTATTTTTTGTAAATAAGTCAGGCCTCAGGCCGATAGTTATATTTATAACAGGTAGACTTGGTCAGACTGACACATTTAGACACAGGCTTAACCTTTTAAAACCAAAGCTCGGCTCGGCTCGGCCCGTTAACACCCCTAGCTGCACGTACAACAACTTCAGATATGATTTTACCATATATATATATATATATATATATATAGGAAAAAATATATTTCTACAGCCACTTTAGATAAGATTATCTACAACTATCCCAAAAACTACGTCGTTTTGATTAATGAAGGATGTTTATGTAATTTTAGGTGAATTAATGAAGGGTGTTTCAGTAAAATGTATATGATAAAAAAATAAATAAAATTATGAAAACACCCTTCATTAATTCACTTAAAATTACAGAAACATCATTCATTAATCAAAACGACTTAGTTTTTGAGTTAGCTATAGATAATCTTATCTAAAATGACTCTAAAATGTTTACACCATATATATATATATATATATATATATATATATATATATATATATATATATATATATATATATATATATATATTAAGAAGCATGGTTTCTATAAGGTAAAAAAATATGAAAATAAATCTTACCTTATTTGTGTGAATATACAAGCGTTAGTTGCCCTAAGAATCGAGCCAAAGTTTCAATTATTATTATTATTATTATTTTTTTGGAAATATTCCAATCGGTTTATCACTTCGCGGCTAATCCAATTCGGCACGGATCCAAAATTAAATCTTTAAATCCCTCTGAATGAATATATTTAAAACTCTTATTTATGAATGTAGCGGACATTTTCAGTGAATTGAAGGAAACACATAATGACACAGCAGAGAAAGATTGCCACGAGGAAGAGGGGAATCTGGAAAAAGAATTGAGGGAGAAGAATGGGAATAGAGAATTGGACTTAGATCCTTTAATGTGAAAAAGTGGTTATGTGATATGTTATTTGATTACAACCACTTATTTCCACTCATTGATGATGAGATAAGAGAGAGAAAAATGTATGATTTTTAAATAAATAGTTGTGATCAAATAACATGACCACATAATTATTTTTTCGCATGAGAGAATCCAAATCCGAGAGAATTAAGCCTAGAATATTTTTTTGCAATTATTTATCATAAATCATTACGATTTTTTATTATTACAATTCACTATTTAAGAAAATGCTTTACAACAGAAACACAATTAATTAAAAATAGAAATTAAGAAATTACAGCACTTAGAAGAATTTAGAAAATTTTTTATCTCAATGCCATCGCTACAATCAGCATTAATTATTTCTCCTTTTCAATAAAAGGTGTAGATGGAGCGTGTATAATAGAAAAGTAGCAAACTATAGTGAAAATTAGATTTTCTCACTTATGTATTTTTAAAGATATTTATCTGATTTAAAACATTGTTTTAAATATCATAAATATTTAGATGACCCTGCTGTCTAATGATTAGAATCCTTAGAACATTTTTCAAGTTTTAAGAGCTTATAATAAGTTATCAATAAAGTATTTATATAGCTGTCAAAACGGACTGGCCACCTTGTTAGGTCTTAGCATATGTGAGTTATGATTAAAACATCTATAAGGCCAAAACCGTAATAATAAAGGCGTCCCAGGCTTTGCGGTCAACCTGTGGGTTACAAAGTTACAATTTTAAAATATTTTAGCTCTTTCATTGGATTCAATGCGTTTAAATTATTTTAATAAATAAATATTTAACATTCTTAAAATATTTTATACAAAATATTAATTTTTCATAATTTTTTAATAAAATATTATTTACACATAAATATACAATTAAAATGTAAGTAATGTTTTAATTATTTTCCTAATAATCCTTGAATAGTTGGTTCTATATAAAAAAAATATTGAAGTCCTCACTTTTTATTATGTTATGGAATGATTATAGAGTAGAGATCTTTTGATAGATATTTTGATTCAAGTCTAAGACCAAGAAATCTTATTTCATTATTTGTTGATTTCTGTCCATTTAATAATTATAGTTTATTATAAGTTATATTAATTAATTATTAATTTCAAAGAAATTACAATTGTTAGATAGACAAAAATTAATATCTAAAATAGAGAGTAAGACTTTTTGGTCTTACACTGGAGTAAAAAAATCTCTCCTCATATATATATATATATATATATTCATTTTTAAGTAATACTTGCATTGAAGGTCTTTATTATTCAGTTAAAATTTTATTATAGTTTAAAATTTTAATTATTAGATTTTTTTAGTAAACATTAATTAAACAAAACTCCAAGAAGTTGAGTGACACCCACCTTTCAATAAATAAAAGTACGTATGAAATTTAGAACATCTTAAATATATAGTCCAAGACTCCAAGTTTAATATCAAAATTAATAAATAAAAGGAAGTGCACTGATCCCAATGGCATTGAGTGTGCCACCATGATCGAGCTTCACCCGCTATGCTTTGTTGAACAATATTGCAGCTCAAAGAGGCTTTCTGGAAGAGTCTGCACATAAATTGATTCTGATATTAATTTAGCTTTACCAGAGAACAAATTAAGAAAATTACAAATTGGTTTTAGAGAAAATACTATGTGAGAGGATGGAAGCATTATGACTTAGACTAGCTCCTCACTATTATTTGGAGGCTGTGCCTCCAATTAATACATAGCAGTATTTTCAGCGATTTAATTAATTCGAGACGATTCACATGAAACCGCCTCTAAATGTGTACTAGAGACGGTTAAAATAATTGTTTCTATTTATCATTCAGAGACAGTTACATTAAAACCACCTCTAATTATTATCTTTAGAGGCGGTTAAACCATAACCACCTCCAAATATATATTAAACACAGTTAAAATAACTGCTCCCGTCGAGGCCTCAACTTCATATTATTGTAAACAAGATTGACAATTTGGCATGAGAAGTTATATCACTTGTAGTTAAATTGTAAATGATTTATGCACTATGACAATTTTGCCTAAGATGTTATATCTGCTAGCCCCATGTTAGTATGATAAGTATTATATGAAACTTCAATGCATGACGAAAGTGGTCATGTTTGTTTTCTTACTTGACATGTTAGCCTTTTGGAATAAATTATTCGGACAAACAAACATAGTACCAGTGTTTTAAAACCCGGCTCGGACCAGCCGGGTCGACCCGGGACTCGGTGACCCGGTGGGTTCCCCGGTCCGAGCGGGTAGTTGGACCGGTTATGCAGTCAGCCCGAATTGGACCGGTTGACCCGGCCGAAACCTGGCGACCCGGTTGACTCGGATTAAACCGGTTTTTCTTTTTTTTTTTTTTTGGTAAATTTTTTTGTTGTTGATAAGAACTCTTGAATTAAATCATATTCATATTTTATGATGAATATGATTAAAAGTAAGGTGAAAATAATAAGGTATTTTAGATTAGTGTAGTTCGTTTATGTAATTTAGTTGCATCTTATAATGATCTCATGAAGTTAAGTGGTGATAAACACTGATGGTCTCATGATCTCATCTCAACGGTGAACACTTTTTTCTTATAGTGTATATTTCATGCATACTATTTGTTATCATAATTTAATTTATCCGTATCATGTCAAGCACAAAAAGTGCATTTAACTTATATTGCATGGTTTAATCCAATATTAGGATACGGTCTAGAGCTAGAAGCTTAGAAGTATATAATATTTGCTATCATTGAAAACCAATTTATTTCTTGAAGCTCATTGATAGTTTTCTTATATGAATTTTTATTAATATAAGTAATATTTTTATATTTTTAATATGTGAACAGTAAAACCGGTTCAACCCAGTTGAACCCGGTTGAACCAGTGACCCAGTACCTCGACCGGTTCGATGACCGGTCCGAGTTTTAAAACACTGGTACTCTATTGAGTATTAAATTATTAACTCAGACTTCTGTTAAGTCCGTATTATTTGTTTTCATTTTACTCTAAATTATTTGGCTTTTCAATATTGGAACCTCAACCATATTTTCCTTGGCGCCTAAAGTTTGCAACATGTTACTTGTTTCCATATAACTGGCACACGTTATTTTTGCCAGCTATAAGCAAGATGGTGCTTGGTAGCCTTAAAATTTGGGTAGAAAATTTGGAATCGAATGCAACAGAACATTTGGATAGAGAGCTAATTTGAAGTTTACAATGTACAACGCATCTCAATAAAAAAAACAAACAAACAAACAAAAAACTTTGAAGACAAATAAAACTCAGAGGAGTTTTTTTTGAAAACCTTAAGCTGGACGAAAGCAATGTGTTGTAACCGATCCTTGCTGATACCCTCAACCTTGCCCTTGAGTTTGGTCCTCTGAAAAAGCTTCAGTTACTTTTAAGAAGTGTACAATGAAGGGTGACATCAATTGTGCTGTGCACTCTTCCCATAAAAATCACGCAAGCCTTAATATATAATAGTATTAAATAAGCTAGTCTGTTCAACCACAGAGATGTTACCTTTGTTGTTGAAACTTTTGGGTAAGTGCTATCCATATTCTATAGTATCATGGCTTTCTATTGTGATGACAACCAAGTTGAGTTCTTTTTTATAATTTTGTTTTTTTATTTATAGATACAGAAACGTGCTTTTGGAGGATGTTCTACACAGTTCTAGTGATATTCCTTACCGGGGGTTGGAGGAACCACTTTGTTTTTTTTAACCACAACAAAACAAAACTCCCAGTAGTAGTGTAGTGTAAAATGTGCAATGATAAATAATAAACATAATGTAAAATGCCACATCTATTCCGATAAACTTGTACATGTGTCACTTGTTGGCATTGTGGTGTCTCAGTCCATTGGATCTCGTTTTGGCTTTTTTACTACACACTGATGACTGATTCCAATTCCTGGACTGTGAAACACCTAGGAATTGTTTCTCCCCACGTACGAGGGCTTCATTGCTATGTCATTTTGAGTAGTTTTCAAAAACCCTGCACGTACTTATCTTCAACCGTTTCTTCCAAACGTCACCGAAACCCACCCAAACACTAGTAAATGAGTATTATACAAATCCAACCTAGCTCAAAAGAAAAAATTTAAAAAAAAACCTTATAGATAAGCATCCATTATCCAAACAACCGCTTTCTCTTCCCCACAGCTTTAAATTTTCTTTTACCGTTTCCTCCACATCTTATATTTTTTTATTCTCACATTCATGGCCTCATTAAATTCACAAATTAAAGAAAAATAAAAGGAAAGGGGAACTCAAGTGAGAATTTTTCTCTTAGGTTGTTGATATACAAACAAAAGAAGCAGGCCAAGTGTGTATAAGAGAAATCAACATTGAGGCACATAGTTGACACGATCACCCTTGTTCATCATGCCAAGTAGCAGCTAAACCTCACTAATGGCCACGTTTCAGATACTTGTATGTATAGTATAGTATTCACTCTTCACATTTTTCTTGCTTTTTCCAATATAAATAGCACCCCTCACCCCCTCTTTATTTCCTCACTAACCCCAAAGAGCTCTTATCTCTGCTTTGGTAACTCCTATAATTATAACAATTTGTCCCTAGTACCCCACATTTCAACAACACACACAGAACAATGCAGAGATCAGGCATGGGAACTGAGGAGAGAAGACAGATGAGGAGGTCAGCACAGGCCAGCTCTAGAAAGGGTTGCATGAGGGGCAAAGGAGGCCCTGAGAATGCTTCTTGCACCTACAAAGGTGTGAGGCAGAGAACATGGGGAAAATGGGTTGCTGAAATCCGTGAACCAAACCGTGGTGCACGCCTCTGGCTTGGAACATTTGAGACCTCTCATGCAGCTGCTTTGGCTTATGATGCTGCTGCACGTAAGCTTTATGGTTCTGATGCTAAGCTCAACCTGCCAGAACTCTCAGCACCTGTGAATGTGAATGTGAATTCTCAGGGTTCATCTTCTTCTTCTGTTGTTTCAACCACCCAGATTCCCCATGTGAATCCTCAATGTGTTCCACCTCCTCCTGGTGAAACCCAGATTTCCTATGTGAATTCTCAAAGTGTTCCACCTTCCTCTGGTGAAACCCTGATGATTCCTCAGATGATGCAGCAGTCTCAAGTGGTGCAGCCTCAGATTCAGCCTGACTTTGATTTTGATTTCTCTGGTATCACCCTTTCTGATCTCAATAACAACATGAACCCTATGGTTTCTCATCATATTGAACCAATGTATGCAAACGACTTTAACATGTCCCTTCCATTTGAGACCAACACTATGCCAGCAGGAAGTGATTTTCAGGCTATGGACAACTTTTGGGGGACTATGAATGAGACCGAGACCATGCCCGTGTTTGATGAATCCATTTGGACAGAAGCTGCCATGTCTCTCGATGATATTCCTATGATTGCAGATGCCGAGATTTACTCGGCTGCAAACATGGCAGATGCAGGAGCTGGTGCTTGGGACTCTCTTCAAACTCCATGGTGCATGTAATCACTGTCAAGAAAATATCTCTATAGAAATTAAGTATAATGAATAATTCACACCATGGTGGACAGTATATATATATATATATATATAGTCTGTGTAAATACTTGCACAGGTAAGGGCGTAAGAGCTAGAATCGTCGTAGTCCTTTCGTATCAATAATAATAATTATCATATGTAAATATTATATAATAGTGTTAAGGTGTGTTGGTGGGGGAATAGTGCAAGTGGCTTTATCACTTGTTAATATTATATGTAAATATTATGGTAATGGAGGAATAAGGATCGTGATTTGATTAGATATAAATCAGTCACGTCTGCATGTTATGTTATGTAATAGTTTTATGGATATGATGCTTTGTTTGCAACAGTGATTTACGTATTTTTCACGTGTTTATTAAAAGTTAAAGTACTTTTTTATTATTATTATTATTTAAAAGATTATTAAGAAGCATGATTTCATAAAAAAAAAAAAAAAAAAAGAAAGAAATGAATGTAAATGGTTTCCCCGTTTCAGACTCATACAAATCATAACTTATTTGTGTGGACACATGACTATGAGGCAAAATTTCAAACTTTAATTTTTCTTCTTCAGTTTAGGATATATACAGTAAAACCCCCTAGATATTGCACAGATATTGCACAGAAATTGCACAGAAGCTGTACATATATTTTTGGCTCAAGAAATTTTCACCCATAATTTTTTCACCTTTTTAATAAAAAGTGGAAATGTAGCATGTATATGGCAGAGAAGTAGCAAATATGTATCTGGATAGTGATGGTTCAGATGCCAAGTTAAATGTGTCTGAGCTCTCTGTGTCTGTGATATCTCAATGTCCAACACCCAAATTGCCCAGATGCAGCAGCCTCATAATTTGTACATTGCAAGAATCTAAGTAACAACATGAACCAAGTAGTCTCATTCTCAGCAAATTGAACCAATCTATACCAACAACTTTAGCATCCCTTCCATTATTTAAGCCTGTGGAAAGTGACTCAAAAAGCTCCCATCCTTGGAAACCAACTCTAAGCTCCCTTCCATTGGAAACCAAACACTAAGCCAGTGGAAAGTGACTTATGAACAACAAGGAGAAGTTCAAGTTCTGTACCGAGTAATCTCTATCCTAAATAATTTCACGAGTTTATACGTATAGATAGACTGTGCAGATACTGTCCATATATCAATGGAGTGTGCATTGCATTATAAATACTTACAGAGTTAACACCAGCTTTTCAAAGTACAAAAAGGACATACCGTCTTCCTACATGTAAATATTACGTAAATTTTTTAACGAATTGTGATGCGGAATACTGCTCGTGGCTTGATTAGTTATGAATCACTCACGTGTGCATGCTAGGTTATATGTTTTTGTCGTTATATGACTATTAGTTGCCCTAGGAATCGAGGCAAGATTTTAAAATTTTGTTTTTCTTCTTCGGTAAATTAGATGGGCTAAGATAATTAGAAATTCTTATTGATAGAATATGAACAATATATAAAGCATGCATGTATATACATATATATATATATATATAGTTGTGTTGTAGATAGGTAGCACATATATAATGAGAAAACCTTCTAAATAGATATTTCTAAAAATATCTAGATACTTAGTGACTTTAAAAATATGTTTTAAGATATATATTTACATTATTTTTTTTTTTAAATATCTAGATATTTATATAAACTAAAAATATGTTTGAACTTTTCAGGCCTGTTGATTAGAACTCCTCATACAAGCATCTAGAAGTCTCTAGAGTCATAACATTTTTCAAGCAACAAGTCCATAACAAAAATATAATCTATATTATAAAAAAGTCATAACATAAATTCAAAGGGAAATTATATTCAAATTTTAAGGGTAGACATTTAAAATAAACAAATCTTTTTGAAATTGTAAAGATTTAGCAAGTACTTTCACACTCTCAAAATTATGTACATCTTTCACGCTTACAATGAATGATGAAAAAATACTTCTAGAAGAAAAATAATACATCACATCTAATTGCTGAATTTCATTTTATTATAGAGTTTTTTTACAGAAAAAAAAAAATATATAAGAATGAAAAAATTATATAACATAATGAAACATTAAGGGAGTGTTTATTTTAAGTTTAGATGCATATCTGTAAGTTACTACATGGGTTATTATGCTGAGACCAAAACTGATGACACACCTGCAAGTGCTGCGGTTCTTGATGGACGAGAAGCAAGTGAGATGTTGGATGCTGTTGCAATTGCTTTCGCCCAGGATAAAGACAAAATCTATTAAGGAAGTTAATGTACATATACTAGAAACTTGAGGTAATCAATTACTAAGAAAATTCAAGAAAGAAACAACAAATGAAAAAGTCAATTAAGCTGCATAAAACCTGCAAAGAAAAAAGGAGAAAAGGCAAATATTGCAGAATAAACATGAATATAAAGAAAGAAGAAAAAGAGACAGTTAAGGCTCACTTAGTCTGCAAAAGACACTTCTCCACCCCCCAACGCCAACACACTTTAATTTGCTGCATAGAGACACACAGAAACAAGAGGAAGATTAGTAAGGAGTTTGAAAATGGAGAGGAAATTAAAGTCTTTGGCACTCTGCATGTAAGTAAAAGGTTTTCATTAAAACATGATTTGTTATGAATGAGGTTGTCACAAAGTAAAATGCACATTGTATTTTTATGTTGATGCCCTCTTGGTGAAGTTCCACCAAGGCATTTGGTCCTCTTTCAAGCATCACATTGAACATAAATTAGTAATTACCAAAAAATTCACACACCTCCACCCAAATGAAGCCCAATAACTAATTAACCAAAAACCACAGAAACTTGGAACCCTTGATTCAAGCCTCCAAGACAACACGCAACAGTTGTCCCACGCTGTTCCACCTAACCAGATCCCACCGCGTCTCAGCCACAGCCACCGTAATCCACCAGGTTCGGCGAGCATTCAGCCCTTCACCGCCGCAACACCGTCGGGTTGTGTTTCAGAAGGGGGAGGGTTTGGGCTTGTGGGGGAATCTGTTTGGTCTAGTTGGGATTGAACCGGTTAGTTGTGTTGTGACTAAGGTTACTAATTTTCTATCAGGCCAAGTTTTTTTTTTTTTTTTTTCATTTATTGTTTTTGACATGTTTATTTGTTAATTGCATTGTCAAATTTTTTTATATATTTTTAAATGAATTCTTAAAATATAAAAAATCTAGATTTACAATAATATTTTTAACTCCTGTAGATATTAATTTAAATAGAATTGTTTGCGATTTTATGGCTTTTACCGGTGTTGTTAAAATCGAGATCTTTAGTAAAATCGGAAAATGATTAAAAAATCGTAAAACGTAAAATTGTAATGTGAAAAAATCGTACAAAATCGTAAAATTGTTTGGAATATTAGTAAAATCGTTTTGATGAAAAAAATCGTAAAAATGTAAAATAGTAGTGATAAATCGAGATTTTAACAACAATGATTTTTACCTAATTAAGGTGATTTTAATTGTGATAGTTTGGTGATGCAAATTTTCGTTTTAAATTGATAATTGTCTTTTTTAATTACATATTTTGAATTAAGTTAAAAAAATAAAATGTTAAAAATTAATTTTATTTTGATTAAAAAAATAAGTTGAACTATGACAAGTTATTAATATCATACAATTTGATTTAATTCATTTTTATTGTAGATATGAAAATTTCAACCATTGTGGCTTCTACTCCTAATTAGTTATTGATTTTTACATCAATTTAAAAAAATTTGTAAAAAATAATTGATTTCTAATTAAAAAATATTAATTATGTAGCAAAAAATATATATTAATTAAGCTGTAACCGATAATATAAAATTTTCAGGTGATTCAATACTAAATATAAAAGAGTTTTTTCTTTATGAATAAATACCATTTTTGGTTATCAGCAAATTTCATGATGCCCGTTTTAGTCCCTAGCAAATAAAAAGGCTAATTGTGGTCCCTAAAAAATTTAAAATGAACCCATTTAGGTGAAATCGTGGTCCCTCACAAATTCAACGTATTAGTCCCTAAAAGGACTAAAATGGGTCCATTTTGACTTTCTTAGGGACCACGATCGGTCTTTTTATTTGTTAGGGACTAAAGCGGGTATCGTGAAATTTGCTAGGACCAAAAAGGATATTTACTTTTTCTTTATTAATCTTGTACTAAAAATTCAAAATCATAAAATAAGAAAAACAATACAATAAATAATAAAAGATAATGATAATTTTCTTTTAAAAGTTAATCTAATTTATAGGAAAAGTATTATTAAGCGGATTCTTAATTCTATGACAGCTTCTTAATTAAAGTCACTAGATCCGCAACAGTTAATGATTTAATTTTTTTTTTTATACTGAACTTAATTATATCTTAGATATTTTCACAAACTTTAACTCTAAGTTGGTTATAGGATTAATCACGAGTCGGGCTTTGTCTAGTTAAAATAAACATGTCTCAAATAAATTTTTAAATATCAAAATCATTTTTTAAAAAACTCTTTTCAAAATTAAAATTTAAATCTTTGATCATATACCACACGTCCTTATCAACGGACAAATCTTCTACTTTCAGTTTTCATAACACGAACCCCTTTCCTTCAAACTTTTCAACTTCGATTCGTGATTGGCCAGTCGACATCCTTTTCAGATCAATTTTGCAGTTTTCTTTACGCCAAAAAAATCCTAAATCGCGAAATCCCAATCTGCCATAGGAAACCTTGGTCGCAAAACCAAAGCTCTTGATACCAAATGATGGAAATCGACAATTACACAAATCGAAAAACAAGAGAGAAAGGGAAGAGAGATTTGACATAATGATTTACATCGGTTCACCCGATGTACAACGTCGCTTGTTACAAGTCACTCGGTATATAAGGGAATATAAATAGGATTTAGAAAACCCTAACAGCAACTATTGATAAGTGTCAAAGACACTATATTTTTAATATCAAATTTAGTTTAAATAATGATTAATATGATTAAGAATATAGTGTTAATTAATAAATTCAAAAGATATCAAGATTCTAACAAATAGATAAGATTATGATCCCTTTTAATATTGTTTCAGGTTTAAAGTAATTAATTACAAATATTAAGGTATAAAGGCAGTTGCAAAGGATAAAGATCAAGAAAAATAAAGAATTAATCAGAATTAATTCTTGTTCAACGAACCTGATTCAAATTAAAAGCCCAAATTTATTTCTTTAGAAGGGACGCAATTAGGGCTTTTGAGAGATTCAGAAGAGGAGGCAGGGGAGCGCATTCAGAAGGCAGAGGAGTGGAGGAACGATCAAAGCTTCAATGTGGAGACCGAGTTTTATATTTCTTTTATGAATTATTGTTTCTTTTCATCTCTTTGTTTAGTTTTCTTGATTATGTTAGGCTAGTTTTCTTTAAGTAGTTAGGGCGCGATGGAACCAATGGGTTCTTGAACGTTGTTTGCCTTTCTTATTATTTACATTCTTGATTTGAAGTTATGCAATCAAACTGTTATTTATGCTTAGTTTTATTTATTACTTGATCACTCGTAGATAAACATATGAGTCGTACATGACAATAGGGATGTTAGTGTATGATTCTGATTGGTTGATTATATTGCTGGAATTTGTATGATCTAGGGATAGACTTATGAATTCTATAACTGTAAGCTCTTGCGTTAAGGCTTACTTTGTGAAAAAGTACTAAGGGAATAGGCTTTTGAGCGGAGTAAAGGATTAGATTACCAAGGGATTGTGATATAATCGAATATAGAAAGAATTGTTAATAACTGGATCTTGAATGAAATTATAAAAATAGGTAAATTAGTTAGGAAAACATTGGAAAAGTTGAGTCCTAGCTACGTCTTTTATAAGAACTTAAAACCAATTTTCTAGCATTATTATTTCTGAATTTAATTTCTTAAATATTGAAAACAAAAAATAAGTTTAAAAATTATGTTTTAAAATATTCTCAAACCAACCTTTCATTGTTGATCCAACTTTAATTAAATAGGTAAATTAGTGATTGGTCATCAGTCCTCGTGGGATCCACAACTTATTTTTATCACTTTATTACTTGTACGACTGGTGCATTTGTCGAAGTAGCAATAAGTTTTTAGCGCCGTTGCTGGGGACTGATTTAATCAACATTAATCATATCTGTAAAATTATAGATTGGATCATTTGCTTTTATTTTATTAGTTTAGTTTTTGGTTTTTTTTATTCTATTTTATTTTATTTTGTTTTTTATTTTTATTTTCATTTTATTTTTGTTTCTTTTATTTTTGTTTTGCTTATTTTCTTTTATCTTATTTTATTGTCATTTTATTTCTTTGTTAGTTTAATATTTTTATCGTTATTTATTTAGTTTTGTTATTTTATTTTCTTAGTTTAATTTGTTTACTTTAAATTTTAAATTTTCTTTTAGTCAGTGGTTTCCGTTAGTTGGGTCTACTGAGCCTTAGATTTCTGGTTTATGCATCTGCGAGGCACTGTTAACCCCAGTGACCTACAATATGAACCAGACTTTGGACGATTAGAAAATAACCAATAGGAAGCGTTTGACTGCGAAGAAGATACAAGACACATCGAGGTCCAGTTCTACTGAAGAACCAGTCATGGCAGAGGATAACCAAAATCCACCAGAAGAACTAAAGAACCACTTCCTAAGTCCTAATTTCTTGCATCCGACTACGAGTATTAGAAGGCCTCAAATTCTAGCCAATAATTTCGAAATAAAAGCCTCCTTCCTAAATTTAATCCAAAGTAATCTATTTGAAGGAGACCCGATTGAAGACCCAAATCGCCATATCAATAAATTCCTACAGTTGTGTAATCTCATTAAGGCTAATAGGGTACCGTCAGAAGCAATTTGACTGGTGTTTTTTCCCTTTTCTTTAAAAGGGAGATCACTTAATTGGTTGGAATTGCAACCTGCTGATAGCATCTCCACGTGGGAAGAATTAGTTTAAAAATTCCAAAAGAAGTTTTTCCCACTCTCCCGATTCTATGATTTGAAAGAACAAATTGACAACTTCAAGCAACTCGAAGGAGAATCCCTGTGTGTGGGGTGAGGGCGATTTAAAGAGCTAATCAAGATATGTTCGCAGTACGTTTTATCGAATGGCGAGAAGGTGCGAATCTTTTACAAAGGGATTACGACAACCTATAGAGTACTCCTTAATGCTGTAGCTGGAGGTAGTATATGAGAGATTACTCCAACCAGAGCCGTCAAGCTAATTGAGAAAATGGCCTCCGAAGACAACGAGGTCACGATAGCGTTAAGGCGTGATGCAGTTGGAAGGTTATGACGTTGTGCTGACCAAACAAGAGAAGATGGATCAGAGGTTAGAGGAAATCACAAAACTTCTCACTCGGTCTCAGATTTCTTTAGTGTTAATGCCCAGTGTAACACCCCGTATATATCTGGTAATGTTATCATAATATCGTATTAAGCTGCGCTTAATTAAACTTGCGGAATTACTTTTTCTTTTCAATTATGATGCCATTAACATTACCAACTTGCTTAATAATCAATTAATAAAGCATCGCCTGTATGTAATTGCAATAAAACAGCTAACTGAAATACCTCATAACATAGATAATATAAGTGTGGCTCTAGTCACAGAACTACAACAATGTAGACCGGACCATCTAACAGTTTATACAACTTCAAATCAAAAGCACTAACATAAAGTGTCATGGACAATCCCCATGCTCACTCAAATAAGGCAACATGCCCAACATCAGTCTCAACAACAACATAATGATAAAAGGCATAAAACATAATCAGCATCAATATCCAGTCATGCTAACAAATAAGCAGAAACAACATAATCAGCTAAGCTCCGGCCTCCTGCCGCCTGAGACATCAGTACCCATACTACCTAATCCTGAAATAAGCATTCGCCAAACGTGGGGTAAGATCTCTAATCTAGAAATCTCAGTAAGTCAGTGAGTCCTCAAGGATCTTCCACCCCAAGCTCACTTACATGTGCAATATAAGTTCAAAAGCAGTTTATCATTTATCATTTCTAAAACAATGCAATGCAGCAGATAATCATGCCATGTGTGTCAATACTAATCTACTTGCCAGAGACAGTGCAGGTATACGTCTATCACCTACTCACCAAGCCATAAGCCCCTAATCACTTGATTCTGACTTAGTTCATTAATTACAGAAGTTCAACTTCATCAAACTAGGGTCCACAAACCCCTAATAGCCTACTGAACACACAGCACAACTACTGTTCCACGAAATCCCAGAATATCCGGATATTCCTCGGGACCATATTCGGATATGCAATATCCGGATATTCCTCGGGACCATATCCGGATATCTCACTGGACATATCCGGATTGCAATATCCGGATATCCAGAATCCCATATCCGGATATACAATATCCGGATATTCCACGGGCAGATATCCGGATATTTCACGACAGAATGTAGAAAATGCATTTCGTGAAGATATCCTTCCAAGGTTGGGTTTTTAAGATTTAAAGCACCTAAACATGTATTTCTAGGTGTGTTCAACATTACCCAACAACAAGTTATCATCTTTAAACCTTAACATGCATCAAGCTTTCATTTTCAAGCATTAAACTCATGATCAAAGGTTGGTACACATACCCCAGCTCAAAACAGAAGAAGAGGTTGCTCTTTGGAGCTCACAATCAGCCCCTCAAGACTGACTCAACAAGGTGCACGAAAATAGCACCATAAAGGTTGGTTCCTTAGAGCAAAGTTCCCCACTTGGACCTCCAAAAACCAAAGTCAAGCTTCTCACAATCAAGCCAACCAAGTCAGCCCCAAAACCCCTCACCAACAGTGGCTGAACACTCCCACAAGCCCACTCTCCACACTCACAAGTCACCACCCAAGTGTATACAAGAAGAAAGGGTGAAGAAAACCAATAAAGGTCACAACTTGACTCAAGAATGAGGGAGAAGGCCAAAGGAATAGAAACTGATCAGCCTCCACCAACAACTCACGCTCAAAGTCTGGTATCTAGGGCAATGTGCCCTTAATAAGGGTATTTATAGCCCAAACGCACTTAAACACACAATATTAATTTTAATTACTACGCTTAGCATTTTAATCCCAAACTTTGGATTATGAAACTACATAATTTTCTAAGATTTATCAAATTTTTCTTATATTTTTCTGAGCACCTTTTCCGGTACGCGCTTCTCCAAGCTAGTACCAGTTTCTAGCACCAGTTCTCATTATCTGGACTTGAAACTCGTTTTACAAGTCCTACATATTATTCTAGTAATTATCATACACTTACTTTAATTTTCCGGGATACTTTTTCCGTACGAATTTATACCGACTAGCAGAACCGGTATCTGCACTTTTCTTCCGAAAAGCGACTTTCAGCGTTATTACTCACTTACTATAATTATTAAAGCCTCATAATAATTATTAGGGTCAATTATGGAATCATTTCCTAATTTTGCATAATTTATTAATTAAATACCTTAATTAACGGTGCGAGTTCTTACACCCAGTTTCATGTGGTATGCAACACTTGTGGTGGACCTCATAGTGCCGATAATTGTGAGGCTATGGTTACTATAAACCTAGCTCAGGTGAATTCCCTTTGGTACGACCAACGTAGGGAGAACAATCTTTACAACAACACTTATAATCCTAGCTGGAGGAACCATCCTGCTCTTTCATATAATCAAGAAGCACCATGACAAGCTAATCTGGGAATTCAGCCAATACAACTTACTCCTCAACCTGCTGCGTGGGAAATAGCTATAGAGAAATTGGCTCTGACAACAACAGCATCTCTCAAAAATCAAGAAGCATCTATTAAGAATCTGGAAATTCAGATTGGTCAGCTTGCCAAGCAGATGGCTGAGAGGCCTCCAGGTACCTTTCCTAGTGATACTATCATTAATCCTAAAGAACAATGTAATGCCATCACTACAAGGAGTGTGATAGTAATTCAACCTATGGAAAAGCCTATAGCTGTACCAAGCAGTAAAAACGATTCAGAAAAAGAAAAGCCTGCTGAAGAAAAAGCTAATGACCCTGTTGATAATGAGGTCATAATTTTTGGAGGACCATTAAATGATACTCCACGTAAAAAATTAATAAAGAAACCTCCTTTAGAAGAAAGAATGAAATTGCTGGGGGATAACCTGTATGTTAAGGCTCTATATCCTCAAAGGCTAAAACAGTCAGCACAAAAGCGACAATATTCTAAATTCTTAGAAATGTTTAATAAGCTGCAGATAAACATTCCGTTCATTGAAGCATTAGAAACTATGCCCAGTTATGCGAAGTTCATGAAGAGCTTGCTTTCAAGGAAGCACAAACTCAAAGAAGAAATGGAGACAGTAACTTTGATCGCGAAATGTAGTGCAATTATCCAAAAAAATGGTACCGCCGAAGCTCAAGGATCTTGGTAGTTTCAGCATACCTTGCACTATAAGAAGTGTTCATTTGGGTAGAGCATTTTGTGACCTTGGGGCTAGCATCAATTTGATGCCACTTTCCTTTGCCAAGTCCCTAGGAATTACTAAATTAAAGCCTACACTACTCTCTTTGCAACTTGCAGATAGATCTACCAAGAAACCAGAAGGGGTGGTTGAAGACGTACTTGTGAAGGTTAATGATTACATCTTCCCTGCAGACTTTGTGGTATTAGATATGAAAGAAGATTCTGAAGTACCTCTCCTTTTGGGAAGACCTTTCTTAGCTTCAGCCAGAGTTCTGATTGATGTCGAGCAAGGAGAGTTAGTATCTAGGGTAAATGGTGAGCAATTTATTGTCAATGTGTTTGAAGCCATGAAATACCTGGAAGAAAAAGGTGACTGCTTTCAAATCGACGTGATCGATGAAGTTGTAGCAGCTGTTGCAGATGAGATTAACTCTGCACCTACAATAGAGGAATCATATGCAAGGTTTTTGCAATCTCCTAATCCATTAAATGAGGCTCTATTGGAAGAAGTAGTTAAAGCCATTGATGTTGTCTCTGACGATTATGAGTTTGAGTCTTTGGATACCGATCAAGACAACAAATTTATGCAAAATAAAATAAATGCTACTCAGTCCCCTCAGTTTTCAAAGTTAGAATTAACAGAAACTCCACCACCTACAGCTCAACCAGATAAAATTTTCTTTATTGAGGAAAAGAAGGCTGAAGAGGAAGAAAAGAAAAATGAGAGCTGCAAACCGAAGGTGAAGAGGGCAAAACCTAAGAAAAAGGGAAATCATATCAAGACTAAATTTAGAGTTCTTGAGGTCAAACCTTATCGCCTATATGCACGAGAGTATTATTACGACAAAGCACAATTTATGAGAAAAGGGATGGCCTCGTCTTTGAACTCTGGCTACAAACCACCATGACTAAAGAAGTTGTAACGTCAAGCTAATGACGTTAAACAAGCCCTTTTTAGGAGGCAACCCAACAGATTTATGCTTTTATTTTATTTTGCTGCATTTAGTTTTTGTTTTCATTCTTCTTTTTTTATTTTAGTTTTAACTTTTGATCTCTATGGGGATGTATATTTGATGATTTTCTATGCTACTACTTGTTTTTGTTATTGCTATGTGCTCTTTGTTTATGATGTGTAGTTCATTGCTGAGGACAACAAAATTCTAAATCTGGGAATGGGGAGCATCATCATATACAGTAGCAATCAGATTTCCCTATGAGGATGAGTAGAGCTGAACTTTTTTCAAAAAAAACAGGGAAAATTCTTTTTCTTATTTCCTCTTATTTTTAATTTTTATTTATTTCTTCTCTTTGTCTGAATTAGTAAATCATGTTAATTAAGAATTAGTCAGTAAGGTTAATTTATTATGAGATGACTTAAAAATATTTTATATTTTAAAGAATAAGCATTGATTGAGTTAGTCTACGAGTCAGTAAGAATAATGAAATTACAGTATGAGTGATTGAGAAAGAGCATAATTTACTGAATTGCACACTTATAGCCATGAGATTTGAGCCTAAACAGAAATTTCTTTTCAGTGTGCATTTCATTGTTGAAAATACTACCAGAACTTGCTTTGTTTCTCCTTAAAATGGTTGTTTACATGCATGTTTGAAATGATTAAGACATTTTATTATTTTAGTTACTTATCCAAAAAGCTAACCATTATGATATCTTTTGTTTAGCCCTTTGAACCTAAGCATTTTCTTGTCTTAATACCTGTTGTTTTAATTAGCCACTCCACATACACATCTGCCTTAAATAGGATTGAATTGTAGAAATTTCATGGTAAGGTGTAAACATGTGTACTTTATCATGTAATTCAAAGTAGTGAAAAAAGAGGTTAGGTGAATGGAGCAAAAGCAAAGGTTGAAAAAGCAAATGGTGAAAAATAAAAATATTTATTTTTTCTATGCAAATAAAAGTGTTGAAAAAAATGAAAATGAAAAAGAAAAGTATTGGATGTTGAAAAAGAAAAATACAGAAAAAATAAAAGTGCTGAAAAAGGAAAAAGAGAAAAGAGGGGGAAAAATGATTATTTGTTTGAGTGTTTACACTTTACCATGATCTTTTCGTGTACCGGTGTTTTAACTAGTTCCCTCTTATTTATCCTTCCTTTAGCCAGGCTCCAATACAACCCTAATAAAGACCTCTTGATCTTTTGTGCATGTAAATTAACTGTGGAAAGTGAGAATATTATCTAGCTTATGAGAGTATTGATACAGTGAAAGATTGAGTGAAACACTTATCCTTAGACAGATGAGTAATGAGTGACTTGATATTTCTAGTGAGGGGTGTGTTAACATTTAGTTTTTGTGCTTGATTGGTAGAACTCATGTTTTATTTTTATGACTTGCTTGCTTTCAAGACTGCTTAGTTAAATTATTGTTCTTAAACTCTGTTATTTTATACCTAAGTCTGATCATTTTTAGATTGATATATTGTCTGAGTCTTACATTGAGCATGTTTTTTACACTATTACATTATTCCATGTTTTAAATTTAATTCATTGCTGAGGACAGCAATGAGAAAATCTGGGAATGATTTGATAAGTGTCAAAGACACTATATTTTTAATAACAAATTTAGTTTAAATAATGATTAATATGATTAAGAATATAGTGTTAATTAATAAATTCAAAAGATATCAAGATTCTAACAAATAGATAAGATTATGATCCTTTTTAATATTGTTTCAGGTTTAAAGTAATTAATTACAAATATTAAGGTACAAAGGCAGTTGCAAAGGATAAAGATCAAGAAAAATAAAGAATTAATCAGAATTAATTCTTGTTCAGCGAACCTGATCCAAATTAAAAGCCCAATTTTATTTCTTTAAAAGGGACGCAATTAGGGATTTTGAGAGATTCGGAAGAAGAGGCAGAGGAGCACATTCAGAAGGCAGAGGAGTGGAGGAACGGTCAAAACTTCACCGTGGAAACCGGATTTTATATTTCTTTTATGAATTATTGTTTCTTTTCATCTCTTTCTTTAGTTTTCTTGAATATGTTAGGCTAGTTTTCTTTAAGTAGTTAGGGCGAGATGGAACCAATGGGTTCTTGAACGTTGTTTGCCTTTCTTATTATTTACATTCTTGATTTGAAGTTATGCAATCAATCTGTTATTTATGCTTAGTTTTATTTATGACTTGATCACTCGTAGATAAACATATGAGTCGTACATGACAATATGGATGCTGGTGTATGATTCTGATTTGTTGATTGCTGGAATTTGTATGATCTAGGGATAGACTTATGAATTCTATAACTCTATGTTCTTGCGTTAATGCTTACTTTGTGAAAAAGTACTAAGGGATTATGCCTTTAAGCGGAGTAAAGGATTGGATTACCAAGGGATTGAGATTTAATCGAATATAGAAAGAACTGTTAATAAACGGAGCTTGAATGAAGTTATAAGAATAGGTAAATTAGTTAGGAAAACATTGGGGAAGTTGAGTCCTAGCTACGTCTTTTATAAAAACTTAAAACCAATTTTCTAGCATAATTATTTATGAATTTAATTTCTTAAATATTGAAAACTAAAAATAAGTTTAAAAATTCTGTTTTAAAATATTCTCAAACCAACCTTTCATGATCGATCCAACTTTATTTAAATAGATAAATTAGTGATTGTTCATTAGTTCTCGTGAGATTGACAACTTATTCTTATCACTTTATTACTTGTACAATCAGTGCACTTGCCGAAGTCGCAACAACTATGCATGGGCCCAAGTCCAAACTATTAAGAAAAATAAAATTACTATAAGTCAGAGGCTTACAACAGTACCATGTCTCTGCGGGCTCGGGGGCGCTGCTCCCTGCATCACCGCTGGAGTGGCTCTCTCGGACCCCCAACCACTCACATTGGAACATAATTTCAGTTGACTTTCTGCTGACTCCACAGACAAAAATCTTCATCTGAATACGAAGTATGAATCATATCATGATGGATCTAAATTTGGTTCGTGATACATTCATGTGAAAGCAGTAGACATTGGTATTATCACCATAGCTGTTATATATGTCAACCATTTTATTATCTTCGTACGAATGTTTTTTTATGCATTATAGTTCGAGAAATTATTTATAAAGATTTTTACTTTAGAAATTACATTTAAATTTTTATTTCTGCATTTCCCTTGATACAGGTAAAGAAGTGTACCAAAGACTATATATACTCTAAAATTTAAAATTATTTTAGAAATTCTAAAGTGTAGTTCAGGTCTAAATTAAATTTAGAGAATATTTAATTTAATTAAATAACAGCTAGTTCCACAACTACGGGTTTTTTCTTTTAATAAAGAAATTATTGTCATCTTTAATGAAACCAAAAGGGGAAGATGAGTACATTCGAAAGAAAAAAAAAAGGTAAAAGATGAAACCAAAAGCCCAACCCATTCCCAAATACATTGAGAGCCTATGATGTACTCACATAAGCATTAAGCAGCCTACCAGCCAAAGAAGCATCATCCCGCCATAGTAGTTAGAGAATTTTTCATAGTTTAAATTTTGCAATTTTAATATTAGTTAAGAACTTAAGACTCTCGTGAATAGGACTATAGGAGTAATATCAAGGAGAAAGATATATAAGATTTATAATAATAATCTTTCTATCTTCTCGGTTTTCTTCGCAATTTTCCTTATTTTTTATTTTCTCTCTTTTATTCCGGAATCCTGACTTACTTTCTCTTTCATTTATAATATTTTTGTTAATATATATATACCCATCCACTTGTGTGTGTGAGACTAATTTCAAAAATTGAAGAATTTAATCCAATTTTTTACTTGTGTGTGTGAGAAAGAGACTAATTTAAAAAATTGAAGAATTTAATCCAATATTTTACATTTTATGCAAATCTCTCTCTTTATATATATATAGGTTTAATATTTCTTATGTTATAGGAGATAAAATTATCTCTTACACACATATAAAAGTGGATGAGGTTCATGTTTTCTTTTTTTTCTCTCTTCTCCTCACATGGCCCCAAATGGGCCCCACACTTTTATGTGTATGTATGAGATAATTTTATCTTCTACCCACTATATGTATATGTATATATATATATATATATATATATGGGATAAATATTTCTACAACCACTTTAGATAAAGTTATCTACAGTTACCTCAAAAACTACGTCGTTTTGATTAATGAATGGTGTTTTTGTAATTTTGGGTGAATTAATGAAGGATGTTTTTGTAATTTTGTTTATTTTTTACCATATACATTTTACTGAAACACCCTTAATTAATTCACTTAAAATACAAAAACACCCTTCATTAATCAAAACGACGTAATTTTTGGAGTAGCTGTAAATAACATTATCTAAAGTGGCTGTAGAAATATTTTCTCATATATATAGATAGGATCCTTGTACAAATGTCAAATTTAAAGTTTGACAGCTCATCTGAGAGCTGTTAGATAAAAAAAAATCATTAGTGTCACATGCTTACAAATCAGAGTCATTGATCTTTTTTGATCTAATGGCTCTCAGATGAGGTGTCAAACTTTAAATTTGACATTTGTGTCAAAGGATACAACCAGAAATAGACTAAGGACTGTTGAAGGCTCTAACCCCCAACAGATCCTTCTCAACTAGCATCCTACAATCCAGGGGAACATTGGGAATAATAACAACATCCCAAGATCTATGGTCCACCTTAGTAGCCATCCAGTTAGCAACTTCATTTCCTTCCCTGTTTATATGAGAGAACATAACCCTCCATGGTTTAGCAACCATTTCCTGGATTCTGGTAATCAACGAGCATAGGGGATGATCGACTGCACTTCCTCCCTGGATCAGCTGAATCATTTCTAATTAGTCACCTTCCATGTGTATCTTCCTGAATCCATGGTCCCAAGCTACCTGGAGTCCTACCAAAGCTCCCTAAAGTTCAGCCTTAAGAGCATTACCTTGCCCCACCTTTTTCATATAGCCTAACAACCATTTTCCCTCACTGTTCCTTAAAACTCCCCCACAACTACTTCGGCTTCCATCAAGAGAGCAAGCACCATCAGAGTTTATCTTAATCCAGCCATTACCAGGAGGGTTCCATTGAACTCTAATATCATCCTTATGCTTCGAGTTAATAGCAGCCTCATCAAGAGTTGTTTCAGCCTAGATTATATTTTGAACATAAATCCTGATCTTATGACTAACAAATTCAGGGTGACAAACTTCCTTCTTAAACACAAAATTATTTCTAGACTGCCAAAACATCCAACATGTGACTCCAAAAGTAAGTCTCCATGTATGGCCTTGATCATTATCCTTTCATTTCTTCAGATTATTATGAATCCAGTCCACAAAGCTATCAGCAAAAAAGAAATCATACCTGGATTTCTGCATAAGACATCTCCACACCTGTTTAGCCCAATAACAATCCCTCATCACATGGCTACAGTCTTCACAAGGATGCTGGCATCTAAAACATTGAGCCTCCCCACCCATGTGTCTACGGCATCTCTGTTCATTAGTTAGTATATTGCTTCCCAATAGAAGCCAAAGAAAATGCTTAATCCTTTTTGGACCCCTCCAATTCCAGGCTAGATTCCACCACTGATTCTGAACCTGCATCACAGACAGCTCAGTCTCAATAGCCTGGTAGGCTGACTTCACAGAGCAAATTCCATTGCTTGAGTGCCTCCAAAAAAAACTTTGTCATCCCCCCTTCCTCCTTTGGTGTCTCCATCCTTATTATAGCTTCACAAACATCAACGGGGAGGTATCTCATGAGCTTCCCATAATCCCTCTCTCCATCTTGATTCACGCAGAAAGCCACATCCCATAGACTGTCTTCTTCCAGCACTGCAGCAATAATTCTTTCAATAAGCTTGCCAAAACCAGGGACCCAACTATCATACCAGAATCTAATTTTTCTGCCATTACCAATTAAGATCCTAGTCCCTTCCAAAATGTTATTCCAAGATGAGCATATGCCCTTCCATATATTACTAGCATTGTCAGGAATTGAGATCTGAGGAGTTAATCTATCCTCTAACTTGTACTTGTTCCTCAAGACTCTAGCCCACAAAGCATCTTTATTAGCCAGCAGTCCATGCCCCACCTTCATAGAAAAATCTTGATTAGAGTTCCTTAAATCCCTCAACCCAACACCCCCATATTGTTTAGCAGAACACATCCTCTCCCATTTAACAAGATGAGTGCCTCTCTTATCCTTGGAAGATCCCCATATAAAGCCACGAGTATGCTTGATATGCATTCAGCATATAACGAAATCTAAGCCAAAAAGAGAAAGAATGTTGATTAAATCTTAAGCAAAAAGGGCAATAATCACTGTTGATCTGTCAAAATCTTAATAAGAGATTGCATACTGATTTTATGTTGATTTCGTAGAAAAAACAGACAAACTGGAGCTAAAAAGTGAAGGCCCACGCTCACAGCATGGGTATGACGCTCAAAGCATGAAAGGAGCTTTTCAGCCAGAGGCATCCACACTACTAGCGTGGGATTCACGCTAGTGGCGCCAGAAATCCAATTCAGGCAGAAGCTACCATGCTATTAGTGTGGGGTTGACGCTAGTAGTGCCAGACCCTCAAACAGTCCACGCTTGCAGCGTGGCAACCACGCTAGTTGCGTGGTGCTCCACGATTTTGAAGAAAACCTCCCACGCTAGTGGCGCGGGAGATGCAGACAATCAGCATTAAATCCTTGTTTAAATCAAAGACAGATTGCACTGAGATGCGGAAAAGATTAGATCAAGATTCTCCACAAGGTCAAAGACTCTATAAATAGAGACTCAGAACTCAAGAGAAAAAAAACTTTTGCACAGAGAGAGATTGACGGAGGCAGAACGCAGAGCAATCTTCTTCTCCAATTTTCTGGTTTTTATTTATTTATGAATTCTTTTCAATACTTTGAATTGTCAGGCATGAATATGTCTGGCTAGTTTTTATTATTGTGGTAAAGGTCACAACCCTTGATGTGAACCCCATGTAGTTTGGTTAAATTTATATTTAATTATTTTAAATTGCATTTATTTTATCCTGTTCTTCATCTTTTAATTCTTTTAGAATTGATCACTCTATTAGGATTGCGAGGGTTAGGGTTTTCAATAGGAATATTGGGATTCTAGTTCCTGACAAGGGTAAAATAACAGTTCATGTATGCACTAGGGATAGGCTACATGAACTGCAAACGTGGAAAATTCACTGGGTTAAAGGATTAACTTGAAAAAATTTTTCTAAGGGATTAGGATTCTAATAGGGTTAATAAAGTTAAGATCACTAAGGGATTAGGGCTTAACTAACCAATTAATAGACGGTGAATTGTTTGATCAATGAATAATTAAATGCAAATATTAATTAATATTACAAGGTGGGGATCAGAAAGGTATTGGCGTCCTTTACTGCAATAGCTTTTAAAATATTTTCTCAAAAACCTTTTATTTTAAGTTTTCAATTTTCTCTTTGGATTGTTCACAAGTCTTGAATAATTCTCAATTTTTATAATCACAAATATTCTCAAAACCAATTTTATTAATCCAACAAGAAAGGAATAGTTAAAATAATTTTGGTGCCTCAATCCTCATGGAGACGATACTCTACTTACCCTTTTATTATTTGGGACGATCGGCGCACTTGCCGATTTTACGCAACAAGTTTTTGGCGCCGTTGCCGGGGATTGACTACGCCTAATTTATTTTTAACTTTTGAATTTTTTTATCGGATTTTGTTTGTTACTGACCTTTTTGCTGTAGTTTATGCGAGGTAAAGTTCATCGAGATTCTTTACAGTTTGATCAAGAAATCGAGAAAACTGCAAAGAAAAATCGGAAGCAAGCCAAGCAAAAAAAGCAAGAAGAATCTTCAGGTTCAAAGCCACACAAAGAATTAGTGATGGCTGCTAATAATCAACCTCCGCCTACTCCACCACCTGCAGCGGAGTTGATGGATTCAATTCTGGCTCCTATGTTCACAAGGCCAAACTCTAGTGTCGTCCGGCCACAGATAGAGGCCAACGATTTCGACATCAACCCGTATCTGATAAACCTGGTGGAGAAGAACCCTTTCGGTGGAGAGGATTACGAAGATCCTCACGACTTCATGGACAGATTTCTGAGAATCTGTGACACTACCAAGCATCATGGAGTGTCTGATGATGCCATCAGACTCAGGCTGTTTCCCTTTGCTTTGACCACGAAATCCCTCAGATGGCTAGACCGACAAGCCCCTAACAGTATCCGAACATGGGATGATCTAGCAGCTATATTCTTTGCTGAGCATTTTTCGCGAGAAAAGTACAACAAGTTGGTGAACGAGATCACCAACTTCATTCAGCAGCCGGTAGAGACACTTTGTGCAGCCTGGGCAGAGTCTTCTATAATGGGATGACACCCGACTCCAGGATGGTTGTCAACGGTGTAGCCGGTGGAACCATAGGAAGGAAGAAAGCAACTGAAACTCTGGAACTGATTGATTACATGGCACGGAACGATAATGCTTCGACGGAAGCTCATCCAGTTCAGCCCACTCAACCCAAGAGGGGAATTATACAACTGGGGAACAATGATGCGTCACTAGCTGAGCAAAAGATGATCTCACAACAGCTAGCCAGTCTAAACACCAAGCTAGATAGAATGCAGATCTCATCTAAAGTTAATGTATTCAACTGTGAGTACTGCAAAGAGCCACATGAGACTAATGAGTGCCCTACATTCAATGAAGCTGAACCATTCCAAGTCAATGGAGTGTGGTATGATCCAAGGCCACCACAGGATACCCAAAGTTACCAGAGAAATCAGAATGGAGGTCAAGGGAACAACTTTCAAAGGAGGAATCAAGGGAGCGGCTTGGATTATAAATCCAACAACTATCTGCAACCTCCTCCTCTGCCACAAAAACAGCCATCCGAATTGGAGAAAGCGATGATACAACTGGCCAAGATCACTAATGATCACATAATTGAGACAAGAGCCTACCACAAGATCCAGGATGCTTCCATCCGAAACTTGGAGAGTCAAATAGGCCAGTTGTCTAGGCAGTTGGCTGAAAGAGCTCAAGGACAGTTCCCAGGAGATACAATTATGAATCCAAAGGCAGACTACAAGTCCATTGTAACCAGGAGTAGGATTGTGATCACTCCTCAAGACAAGCCAAAATTGGTTCAGCATGAGAAAGTAGAAGAAGCACCTGCCAGTGAAAAAGAAGAACCTGCAAGGCAAGACAAAGAAGAAGCAAAGGAGAAAGCTGTTGAAGCTCCAAAGCAACCGATGGATTTTTCTCGTTTTGAGAAACCTCCTTATCCTATGAAGCTCAAGCAACAAGCACAGAAGCAACAATATGCCAGGTTTTTAGATATGTTTAAAAAATTGCATATTAATATTCCATTTGCTGAAGCTCTTGCTAATATACCTAACTATGCTAAATTTATGAAAGATTTATTGTCAAGAAAGCATAAGTTACAGGATTGTGAGACAGTAGCACTTACTGAAGAGTGCAGTGCCATCATACAAAAGAAGTTCCCACCAAAGCTTCAAGATCCTGGGAGTTTCAACATCCCAATTGCAGTAGGCAACACTAATGTTGGTCGGGCACTATGTGATCTCGGAGCAAGCATCAACTTGATGCTATTATCAATATACAAGTCATTGGGAATTACTGAGTTGAAGCCAACCATGGTCTCTCTACAGCTCGCTGACCGTTCTTTGAGGAGACCTAATGGAATCATAGAAGATGTTCTTGTTAAAGTTGACAAGTTCATCTTCCTTGCTGATTTCATCGTGTTAGACATGGAGGAAGAGAGTGAAATGCCCCTTCTGTTGGGTAGACCGTTCTTGGCCTCAGCTCGAGCTATGATTGATGTAGAACAAGGAAAGCTCGAGTTTAGGATGAATGATTAGAAAATCACTATCAATGTTTTCGATGCTATGAAGAATCCCTCTGATCATAGTGATTGTTTCAAACTTGAAGTGTTTGAAGAGGTGGTTATGGAAGAGAAAAGTGATTATCAAGAGCTTGAAGAAGAGTTGAAGGCTCTAGATGAAGCTGCTCCAGAAGAAGAACGAGCAACTGTCTTTGAGGTGCTAGAAAAGAAAGAAGATGACTCAGCTACATTGGTACCAAAGGTGGAATTAAAAGAGTTGCCTCAAACTCTTAAGTATGCTTTCTTGGGAGACGAAGAACAATATCCTGTTATCATCAATAAGGAAGTCCATTAGTAGTATAAAGAAAGCAAGCCAAAGGTTAAGATGGAAAAGCCCAAGAGTAAGGAAAAGCATGTGAAGACTAAGTTCAAAGTTCCTGAGAACCCTCATCCTCATCCACATGCATATGATCATGGAAGGAAACAATACTGGATCAAGAAGATTGGGTCATCAATGGTAGCATGTTTCCAACCACCATAAATCACAAGGGGTACGTCAGGCTCGTGACGTTAAACAAGCGCTAATTGGGAGGCAACCCAATAGTTGTTTTTCTGTTTTTATTTTATTTATTTTATTTTCTTAGGATACTTTAATTTTTAATAAGTCAAGTAAGTGGTGAATTAGTGACCATATGGAAAAATTTTAAATCTGGAAATTGGCGCTGTGAGCGCCAATTTGGCGCTAGTAGCGCCACAAGGCCAAAAGAGACAGTGAGTTCCACGCTCACAGCGTGGTAACCACGCCATCAGCGTGGAAACCTCAAGAAATACTCGCGTCAATAGCGTGAATTCCACGTTGTGAGCTCCATCAAGAAAAATGAGGCAGTAAGTGCCACGCTCACAGCGTGAAACCCACGCTGTGAGCGCCAGTTCACTGCACCATGACATTTACTTTGGCATTTTATTTTGCTGTTTTGAGTATTTTGTTGGATTAGTTGGTTGAATTATTTCTCTTTATGTAGTACACTCTGATGATTATTCTGTTTTACTGTTTAACAAGTGTGTTTGTGTGTTCCACCTGGCAGAATTAGCTTCTCGACCAGTATAGTTGTTGCTGAGGACAACAACGTTCTAAATCTGAGAATTGTCGCATGCTGTATGCGAGACTTGCTAAATACTGCGAAACTACACCACGGAAAAGACGTCTAAACAGAAATTTTCTGAAAAAGGGGAGATATTTTAACCTTCAATTTTTTTTATTTGCTGTTTTTAGTTAGATTCAATTTTTAAAGAAAAAGAGAAAAATTTTAGAGTATTCCTGAACAAGCAGTCCCAGAGTGTTTTAAGCTTACTCAGTAAGTAATTAGATTGAGTTAGAGGAAGCATGATATCTGTGAGCAATTAATTGTTTTTATCTAAGAATGATGACTGCTCGTTTTTATAACTGTTTTGGTTAAAATTTTCGGATAATGCTTGATGTGAAACTTTGAATTGAGATTCTAGTTTGAATTATAACTGTGAGGATTTGAGCCTAAACAATTTTTATTTTTTTTTAGAGAGGCCTCACTGTACTAGTTTCTAGAACTTGAACTGTTTCTCTGGCTTGCATGCATTACTGATATGATAAGGGCATTTTTATTCTTGCTAACTTAGAGCCAAACAGCCTACCTATAAGAATTCCCATTGTTAAGCCCTTTTGAGCCTTAAACCAGTTCATTCAAACCTGATGGAGATCAGAAAGGTGGGGATCAGAAAGGTGTTGACGTCCTTTACTGCAATAGCTTTTAAAGTATTTTCTCAAAAACCTTTTATTTTAAGTTTTCAATTTTCTCTTTGGATTGTTCACAAGTCTTGAATAATTCTCAATTTTTACAATCACAAATATTCTCAAAACCAATTTTATTAATCCAACAAGAAAGGAATAGTTAAAATAATTTTGGTGCCTCAATCCTCGTGGAGACGATACTCTACTTACCCTTTTATTACTTGGTACGATCAGTGCACTTGCCGATTTTACGCAACAATGCTTCTCATTATCATCACACACAACTTTAGGTAACCAGGCAGTCTGCATATCATATGTAGGCAAATAACACTTATTTGGCTTAGGTTAGCCTCCCAGCTAAGGATAAAGATTTTGCACTCCAAGCATTCAATCTACTATTAACCCTGTCCATGACATTCCCAAAGGTAGCTCTATTCTCTCTAGAATGATTCAACATCACACCCAAATATTTCCCCAAATTCTGAGTAGATCTTATGCCAAGGCAATCACTTATATCTTTAGCTCTTCTGAAGCTCACATTTTCTGAAAAGAAAACCCTCGTTTTCTCTTTACTGATTCTCTGACCAGAACACCCTGTAAAAACTCTAAGAACTTGATTGATAACATGAGTTTGATCAATGGAGGCTTCAGCACACAAGATGATATCATCAGCAAAAAATAAATGGGAAATGGGGGGACCCTTCTTTCCCAAGGAAATTGGTTTCCAAGCTTTTACCTCAGTGACTACTTGGATTAGCTGGGCTGGTCTTTCCACTCAAAGGACAAATAGATAAGGGGATAAGGGATCCCCTTATCTAATTCCACAAGAAGGTTTAAAGTATCTAGTGGGCTGTCCATTCCAAAGTAAGTTGAGATCACTGGTGCTGACACAATTATCAATCAAGGAAATTAAATCAATTGGCAGCCCCATGTCTTTGAGAGTCTCATGAATGAATTCCCAGCTAAGCCTAGCATAGGCTTTGTCCAAGTCAACTTTAATCATCATCCATCCTTTCTTTCCTTTTTTCCTTCTCATCGAATGAATAATCTCCTGAGCAACTAGAATGTTGTCAGCACTATGTCTACCTTTCACAAAGGCACATTGATTAGGAGTAACCCAATTAGGCATCCAGCTTCTCAACTTCTCAGCAATCATCTTAGTAACAATTTTGTAAGACACATTGCATAGGCTGATGGGCCTGAATTCTCTCATGCATTCAGGATTATCCTTCTTAGGAATCAAACATATATGAGTTTTGTTGACTAGCTGCACCCTCTTAGGCTCACCAAAAATGCTTCTGACCAGATCACACACAGACCTGCTAATTATATGCCATTGGGTTTGAAAAAAAACTGTATGCAACCCATCTGGGCCTGGAGCCTTAAACCTGCCCATCTTGAAAACAGTTTTCCTTATCTCTTCATCATCTGGAATTCTAGCCAGTTTATTCATCTCCAGATCCTCCATCTTAGGAAAGGCATCTCTAATAGGAAATTCCTCATAATCATCACCCTCTGCTCGGAACAACTTCTCAAAATAGCTTACAGCTGTATCCACCATCTCCTTTTCCACAATTAGCCATTTTCCTGAATCATCCTTGATGGCAGTCACCTTATTAAATCTCCTTCTGGCCACAGTAGTTGAATGAAAAAACTTCGAATTTTTATCACCAAATTTTAGCCACTTCACTCTTGATCTTTGGAACCAAGTTAACTCCTCCCTTAAGAAATTTTTTTCCAAATCTTTCTATAAATCTTCCTGAAGCCTCTCAAGATTTCTGTCATAACAAGGCTCCAGCTGGAGATCTAAACCTTGAATTCTAGCATAAATGCGATGCTTCTGTCTCATTTCCTCTCTATAAACATTCTGATGCCACTTGGTAGCCTCCCCCTCAAACTCCTTTCTAGCAGCCACCCAATCCACATCCTTATCCCAGCAATTTTTAACAATATTCCCAAAATCAGAGCTTGTTAGCCATCCAGCCAGGAATTTAAACTGCTTCACACTCTTTTTTCTTTGAGAATCATGACAGCAGCTAAGTAAAATTGGCCTTTGGTCAAAATTAAAGTAAGGCAGATGGCCTAGAACTCTGTTAGGCCAGGCTAAGTTCCTCTCTTCATTAGCAAAAGCTCTATCAATTATTTCTTGAAGTCTTTCCCTTTTCTAGGTAAAACTTGGACCTTTATAGCCAATGTCAGCTAAACCACATATCTCCATACACTCCTTCACATCCTGAATACTCTTCCAACTCACCTCCTTTCCCCAACCTTCTCATATGGGCTCAGAACAGAATTGACATCCCCAAGAATGATCCAAGAAGAATTGATCACCTCAGCCAACTCCTCCAAGTCCTCCCAAAGTCTACTTCTCTCAGTCCTCCTAGGACTTCCATAAACGAAAGTAACAAAGTCAAATTTTTTATCTTCCAAATATTGAATTTTAGTATGTACATATTGTTGATGAAACTGGATAATCTCCACCTCCACATCTCTATCATCCCATAAAATCCAAATTCTTCCAGAAAACCCCACAGCTTCTTGTTTAAATTTTTTTTGGAAAACCCAACTTCCTAATAATAGTCTCCCATCTGTCTCCCTGAATTTTAGTTTCTAACAGAGCCAAAACTTTAATATTAAATCTAAATTTCAAATCCCTAATCAGTGCATGAAATTCCTTCTTACACACCCCTCTACAGTTCCAAGAGCAAAGATTCACAAAAGTAATTGTACAAAAAAATAAAAGTACCTCAACCACAAAGGGTTGGCCCATCAGCTATTATTGAGGTTCCTAGCCCCACCCAGGGCTATATTCCCCTGATCCAGTTCCATACCATTCTGAACACACAAACTAGACTTCATCATATTCCAAGTCCCCTATCCCTTGCATTTTCCAGTAGGCTGGATAGGTATCTCATTCGCAGGTTGAAGAATTCCACTGTCAGGGCCTCTGCCCCTATTCCCCCCTTCTGAGATCCCACCATGACTGAACTAGGAGGTTGATTTTCTGAACCATAACCCTTATTCACAGTCCCTTTTGAATTCTTTTTTTTTTTCTGCAGCCTAGTAGGCCCTGCACATGTAGCTTTAGTCACATTAACCTTCCCTCCTCCTTTTTTTTGCTTGTCAAGCCCAGCATTATTAGTAATCAATGGAGATTCATTTGTCCTCCTCCTATTTCCACCTCCATAATTTATTTTATTCACCACATCTTCTTTTTTTCCCCACTGTTTTAATACCACCCTCAGGGACAACTTCTTCCATTGGACAATCTGAGTTCATTAAAACTCCAACACCCGAACTCTCAATCACAGAAGACCCTGGCTCTTCAGTAGGCTTAGAACTACCTTCCTTATTTACAACTTGTTTGACTGGAGTGACTCTCATATTTCACCCTCTTCCTGGTTTCTGGACCACCATCCAATTGCCAAATTCCTCCTTTCCTTCAGCTGCACCTCTCCTTTCTCCTTCTCAACCCCCTTCTGATTCTCCTTCCCAGCTCTCCCAACTTCAGGGATATGTTTTTGACCCTCTGAGCTAGGACAGGAATCCTTCCTATGGCCATACATGCCACACGCAAAGCAAATCATATGGAGTCCCTCGTACCTCACATGCAGCACTCTTCCTCCTATTTTAAATTTTGACAAGAAACTTTTCCTAAGGTCCACTTCAACACAGATTCGAGCAAACCTAGCTCTCTCAGTGATGTCCCCATCTCCTATCTCATTTCTCCTCAGATAAATTTTGTCTATCTTGAGAGTCCCCTCAAAAATACTACCAATCTTCCACAAATTATGGGTGGTATAAAATTCCAGAGGCAAACCTGGAATTCTAATCTAGATATCAAGTCTCTTCATATGCTCATCATAAGGATTAAAGAATGGCCTCCACCTCTACACTGTCAAATAGTGGTCAGCCACTATCCATGGCCCCTCATGAAGAACATGGTTGTAATCACCATCCTTCTGAAACCTAATCACCAAATATCCATTATCCATGTCGATGACCTCGTAGATCCCCATAAGATTCCACAACCTCACCAGCCTAGCCATCAGAAAACGGGCTCCCATTTTCTTCCCCAGTAGCTTAATAATGAGAGCTTTCCTCCACTGTCTACAGTCTTCTTTATGTTGACTCTTCGAAAACTTGTACGAAGGACAAAGAGGGTCCTCCAGACCATCATCAGCACCCTCCTCTAGCAAGCCCTCCTCCTCTTCTTCTCTTCTTTGTTTCTCCATCCAGTCCTCATCTTCACTGTCTGACATATCATCAACTCCATTAAGCCGTATCAACTTATCCTTATAGGATACAATCTTGCGTCTCTGACCGCTGTTCGTTCCTGAGGATCCACTAGAAGGTGGATCAGCTTCATCAGTCTCCTTACCAGGGGTCAATGGCTTGCTTGCCGAACCTACTTCTCCCCCCATTAGAGGTCCCGGAGAGCATGGATCTCCTCCATGCATGTGTTCATCCATCACATCATCTTGGATCTCCAGCCCTTTCGGCTTTTTTTATACTTCGATTCAAGTTATCTTCTTCTTCAGTCGAGGCTGATCGTGTTTCTCCCATGGCAGAAGGTTTTCTCAGAGAAAAGAAATTTGGCGCGTAAGATCTATGCGCGTTCAGTAAGAGGTTTGTAACTTTAATCTCCCACCGCTTACCTTGGTAATTTAAGTGTAAAAGAGAGGGATTTTAAGCCCATTCCTCAACAGCTCATGACCATTAAGGATCTTTTGACACGGCTAGTAAAGCAAAAGGATAAAAAGATGTGTAGAAAAAGAGCAAACCAAATAAAAGATAGAGATGCCCTTCGCTTTGATCAGAAAAGGAAAAGCATCTATCGATCATCTTAACAAAAGTAAACTTTTAAAAAAGGAGATTAACTTGATATCTGATCATAGATCCTAATGATTCATATAGCCTTTAATGGTATAACCTTGGATCTAGTAGTTGAATATACTTAAATTTCACCTAGAACTTTGTCAAGTAGTCCGTGTCTTCACAAGAATTAACAACGACATGTTGGCTTGTAGCCTCATGTCAGTATCTCATAAACCAACTCTATATATTGGTCCTTATTTCCTTATTTTATATACATGTCTTCTTATATGTGCTAACGACATAATGGAGACAATGCAAAACCGATTGGACATCCTACATCACAAGTATATCTTTTTGGCACTACCGTTGCACTGAGTAGTGATTAGTGAATATCACTCCTGTCCAAAATGAAATTACATAGTATATATTTCTAGGAATACAAAAAATTTAGTTTTTCTTTCTTTCTTTCTTTCTCTTTAGGAAATATGTCAGAAGTTGTGTTTTTATTGAACAGATGTAGGTAATACGATAATATATTTAAATTTTCGCTACATCTCAAGATGACACACTATGTATATAATTAGATACAAATCTATATAAGTGAGCTTAATTATTCCACATCAAGAATGCAAATAAATTAAACCTTCAGAAAATTAATCATGCGGTCACATACTCTCGATCTGTCATTGCTAAAGCACATGCACACAGCACATTATATGTGCTTCAATTCGAGCTTCTTTCTTTCTGGTTACTTCTGACACCCGCAATGGCTCCAGTTATTTGTGCTTGATATTTTACCAACATGCTCCTCTTTATTTAAACTTACTAATAATGAAATTAGAGATTTTGATTAAATCCAACGGTAATGATGATTCCGTTTGAAGGTGACTATTTATCACTTATCAACATCTTCATGCTTATAGCCTACTTTCGAAACAGGAGTTCACGTCTTAGAAATTATGTGGGTCTCTCTGTCCCTTCCCGGTCATGTCATAATGATATTGACTGTATATCTTAAATAATTTCATTTCGTAAACCAAACCATAAATTAACATATAGAATCATATGGGATTTCAGGCTCTAGGCCCCACTTTAAGTGACATCCACCGTTACAATCATTCCCATTAAATCTCTCATTCTAAATGATCTACTAAGAAAGCATTTGAATTGAAAGAAAAAACTTAAATAATAAAAAGAGGAAAAGATGAAAACTGATTCGTGCACACACAAACTTCCTGACACATAAGGTAGTAGTAATGTATAACTGGCATCATTTGTCTCTTTTCTTTTTCATCTCACCAGAAAATGCTGTGATTTAAAGTTATGATTCCCTTTATCAGACATTCTCTGTTGATGAAGAGAGGAGTGGTTGATTAAGTGATGCTTTGGCGTGGCTTGCGGGCCTTATGATGCTATGCTCTGCTGAAGATGTAAGCACAAGTTGTTCTTTTGCAACCTTCTTCTCTTCATTTTTACCCCACAATACACAGTACAGTCCCACCACAATCACCACTGCCCCAATGATCCTACAACATAAAAAATTCACATCCAGCCACAAAGGCAAGAACCAAATTAGAAAGAATATTATTTTAGAAAAAAGTAAAATAAAAGGGAGCAGCAGAAAGCATACGAGATAAAGAAACACACGAGACACGATCTTCCATTCAATAGATATAATAATTCTTCAAACTTTATTAACCCTATGAAATGTAGAATCATTGAAAGCTGAAGCCCTTCACAGTTCTCACCGAAAGGCAACAAACAGTACCTCAGCTCTAGCTCATTTGTCGTTTAGTGACTTTTGTCATTTTGTAAATCTTCATACAACCAAAAGTGCTCTTCATCATGTTTGCTTTAGGTCATTTCGACTCGGTATAAATATATAAAATATGTGGCCAAAGTCATCAAGCATTAAAAATTGAAATTATTATCTTGTGGGTGTTTCGATCTAGATCTCCTGCATTTTTAATTACATATGATACCCAGAGAATTATTTTATTTTTTTTAAGCAAACACAATTTATCTTGAACATTTAAATTAACAGTTGAATTGTCTAATTTTTTTTTTTCTTACCCATTAATTCATCAATTACTCAACCAGTCCGATTCGAATACGGTAGGATTAAATGAGCGGCAAAGTGCTCCTTACAAAATTTTAACATAATTGTGTTCTCATACACTTGAACTCAAAATCATTGGTTATACTGAAATAATTCTGTACCAGTTGAATTGTGTGATATATTATATGTATTAAGTTAGAACATAGAAATGCACTTAACTTTAACGTATGTCTTTACCTATGCAAATTATTGATTGGAATGTATACTTTATCTAAAAATTTCTCTAGCTTTTTTAGTTTTTTTTTTTTTTTTTATCTCTCATGTTAATTAGGTCATATTAAATCATCAATATCAAGAAAACTAGAAGGATAATTAGAGAGCTAAGGACTAACCCGCCCAAGTAGAACTCTTCTCCTAAAGCAATGGAAGCCATAATGGCAACAACAAATGTCTGAACAGGCTGATACACAGCAACGAACACAGGGCCACCTCTGTCAATGCACCATATCTGAACAGCGAAGGCAATTCCGGATGCTACCACTCCCTGCAATACATATTAAAAATTAAAATAAAAACAGCTCATTTCTCTACCAACGTATATATAAGTATAACATGTCACAACTCAATCCCATGCAATTTTTGAAAAAACTTTTGACACCAAACTTCAATTACAAACAAGAAAGTGACCAAGCATTTTAATTTTTTTAAATGTATCTAACCAATGATTATGTTCATTCATGATTAAAAGGTTATAAGTTCGAATCCAAAAAATAATTTCTTTGCAATTATACAAGAATAAAGCCGCGTACAAAAACTACATTTACCCCGCACTCACTAGTCGTATTTAGCTGGGAGTGATTTATTTTTATTTTTTTTAATCTAACCAATGATTTACGGAGACTACAATATACTGGTATAGTAGTTACTAACCGCGTATAAAATTGTGAAAGCTTCGCCACCAGAGTGGAAAACCCAAGCCTGTGAGTCTCTTTCAAGGATCAAAGCAATAACCAGAAATTGCAAGAGTCCAAAGAAACATGTGTAGGAAGTAACAGAGAGGCGAGCAGGGTACTTCTTGAGAACTGGTGCTTGAAACACGAGCCAAGCAGACCAGGATAAGCAATGCCCAATGAGGTAGAGACAACCAAGGGTCCAGTTTTTTCCCTTTGCATCTCCCAGTGAGAGTGATCCAAAATCAAACACTTGTGTTGTGTTGCTGCTATTTAGAGGAGGTATTGGGCTGTATATTGTTGGGCCTTTGTAAAGTGTAATCACGGTTGCTCCTGTAACACACAATACGGTTCCTGCCACCTTAGCCACCCCGTCTTTTCGGTTCAGTTGCACTTGCTCTATTCTGAAATTGCATATATATATATATATATATATATGCAATTGTTCTCATTAATATTTATGTGTCACATATATAGGGGTAAGGCATATACATAATAATAAATTGATTAATTAATTAAGGGCTTGCCTGAGTATGACTGCCATGAGAAATGTAATGGCTGGGACAGAGTTTTGTATTGCTGATGCGAAGGTTGGGGTTGTGTTCTCCAAGCCAAGCAAGTAGAAACCTTGGTTTGCTGTAATCCTGTTTAATGCAAGATTATTATTACCACAGGAACATTCTAAATTATATTATATTATTTTGGAAAAGAAAAACAAGAAATTATAAGGCCTTAATTTAAGTTTTTATATTCTTTTTTTATTGAACTTTCTAATTAATTTTGTATGGTTTAATTAATTAGACATACCCGACAAGTGCCAGAAAAAAGAACTGGCAGAGGAAGTTTAAAGTAATCGCTGGCCTTTCCTTCCTGAATAAGGAAAAGAAACAAAGGAAAACAAGTCGTAGGTTAGACAGATAGATATATAGACAAATAATTAGGGACTATAAATTGAAAAACTTATAATATTATTATATATTTATTTATTTGTTTGTTTGTTTATATATATATATATATATATATATATATATATATATATATATATATAAACATGGAAGATTATATTTACAAACTACACTATGTCTTACCGGTCATACACTAATCAAAAGTATATGACCGATCATATTTAATATAATTTGTAAAAAAAATTTATAAACGAATCATTTAATATAATTTGTAAAAAAAATTTATAAACGGATCATTTATATATATATATATAGACACACATATTAATTTGTTAGAGTAGTACTAACTTTTCTAAGAAGTAGGCAAAGGGAAGGAGCAAAAGCAAAGCAATGATGTTCCGATAGACTGGGAAAACAAGTTTGCTAACACCCATGTTAAGTGCAGCTCTTGAGACCACATGGAACCCAGCATAGCCAAACTGCAGGGCCAACATGGCTCCATGAAGCTGAAGTTTTTCGGGGATGGAGCACCACATTCTCTTGGAAGAGCCTGAGCCTGAATCAGCCATTGGAGAAGTGACTACAACAACTAGACCAAATAATTGAGACCTAGCTAGTCTTAGTTGGTCAAAGAGAAGGGTAGGAAGTGGTGAAGAGAAAGATGCGAGTAAAGGGATATAAATATAGTGAGGAGTGAGAGGGATTGGAAAAAGAAGTATGGAATAGAAGCAATATAGGTATGGCCCACAACACCCCAAAAAGACGTTACATCAACTGTTGGTACCCTTCAAATGTTTTTTGGTTGTCTCCCACATTCTCTGCTAATCCTCCCCATCGCACTTTGGGTTAAAATTGAAGAAAAAGAGCAATAGAGCCTACTGAGCCTAGAGCTAGGAGCGTGTTTGTGAGAGAGGAGAGAGTCCAAAGAGATTCACTGTGTTACCAAAACTGATCCTGCCCGTTCGAACGACCGGTTGACTCATAAATTGACATTTAGGTATTGGATCGATCATATATTTGATCCTTTTATGTAATTTTGATAATAAAATTCGAATTTAGGCCATGTGAATTATAATTTAATAACACTTATCACTAAACTAATTCTAATTATGGGCTAAAATATTTCTAGTTTTATATTTTATTATAGATTTTAATGTTTTTAAAGTGAATGTAGATAAGTTATCTACATTTGCTCCCAAAATGACGTTGTTTTGGGTTGAAAAATTAAAAAATTATAATGAAAAAGACTATTATAACCTTGAAATAAATTATAATTACAAAAATACCTTGATTTTCGTCTCAAAACGATGTCATTTTGGGCTCAATATAAATAAGTTAGAAAAAGCAAACGCTTTATTATATATATTTACTTCATGTGATTAAGTGATCCATTAATTGAACCGGAAATCCATTGACTGAATATCCTGCCGAATCGATGACGGATGTTATTATTGATTACAATTTAACAGGTTTTGCTTTGGCACTATGACACTAATGATGATAATTGAGCCATGGCCTAGCCGCCACCGATAGATAACACGCACGAGCGGGGTGGTGGATGGATACCCTATTCTATTCTCATCCCGTGAAAGCCTAAACCCAACTCATCCTACTTGTTATGGGTATCACACCCTAGTGGTCATTACCCTCTTTTTTCCTATTGAATAATACATTGTCATTTAAGTATAATATGTACTCATACACTACCAATGTGTACAATATACTTTATTTTTGGGCCATGCTTAATTCTTTTAGCAATTTTCTAATACAATATTAAACAATTCACGATGCCCGTACACATACCCCACGCAAATTTTTTCAATCTTAACCATTCAATGGATAATCATGACTAAAGTAATAATGGCCTCTAATATCATGTATATCAAAATGCGACTTTTTTTTTCAAATTTTTAGTTAGATAGACGACCCCGAAAATAAAGCAGAATTCATAATTTTATATATTTAAAGGTTAGCATTACGCAAGTTGCTTGAAAGCATAGTTATTAAAACCAGACCGATCCGGCCGGATCGATCCAGAAATCGATAAACTGGTCATATAATCGATTCGGTTGAAGCAATGGACCGGTCATGTATCAGAACCGGTGCGACCCGGTCGATTTTCATAAAAAAAAACCGGTGACCCGGCCCGGTCCCAAAAAAAAAATCCAAATTTTAGTTTTTTTCAAAAAAAATCATAATAGCCATATTTAAATATTTTTTTGCTTATTGACTTACATAAGTTATGTACCTACAACACTAATATTATCTCTATTATGTACTATACATAAAAATTTGAATTAATTTATAGTTAGAGATGTCATTTTATGAACCTAAAGTCCCGTATCACGATCATTATATTTTTGTTTGATTTTTTATTTGATAATAATATGTGATTTATTATTTTTTGTATTAAAATATTTGAAATTTTTATCATTTTTTTTTAGATATTTGAGTATGTTTATAATTTTTTAATATAAATTATAAAATTACATATAATTATCGGGTCATGCGATTGAACCAGTGACCCACTGGTTGAACCAGTGACCCGGTACCTCGACCGGGTCAATGATCGGGCCGATTTTAATAACATTGCTTGAAAGCATCAATGTCATATATATATATATATATATATATATATATATATATATATATATGTGTGTGTGTGGTAAAATCATTTCTACAGTTGCTTTACGTACAACAACGACAGATGTATAGTTATGATTCCCTACATTTAATGCTTTCATCTTTTGTATGATTATGATTTCCTGCATTTAATGCTTTCATGTATATATATGGCAAGTATTTGATTGTTGCTCGTGCAGTAGTTACAGAAATGTAAACATCTATATATATAATAATTATTTCTCCAGCCACTTGAGATAAGCTTGTCTTAAGTCACCCCTTATAACTATGTATTACGGGTAATACACAGTTATAATGTTAAAGTTGTTTTTTTTCTCTTTTCAGACACTTTTCAAAATTTGTCTACTAACGTGAAGAGAGAGAAAAAAGCATCTTTAACATTATAACTATGTACTACGTAGTACATAGTTATAAGTGTGTGACTTGAGATAAGTTTATTTCAAGTGGTTGGAGAAATATTTTTTCATATATATATATATATATATATATATATATATATATATATAGGTAGGATCCTTTGACACCGGTGTCAAATTTGAAGTTTGTCACCTCATCTGAGAGCCGTTAGATCAAAAAAGATCAATGGTATCACATGCTTACAAATCAGAGCCGTTGATTTTTTTTATCTAACGGCTCTCAGATGAAGTGTCAAACTTCAAATTTGACACCAGTGTTAAAGGATCTTACCTCTATATATATATATATATATATATATATATATACATATACATATATATATATATATATAAAATATGGGATAATCAAGTCTTATGTTGCTGCAGATGAAAACTTTGTGCAGATGACCCTTCAAAAATTGAGCTACTAATTTTTTATTTTTCTCTTCATGGTGGGCTCCACTTTCCTCGTCTATGTGGCATGAGAAGTGTCATCTGCAGTAACATGAGAGGTGATAAGCCATATAGGAACAATGTCTGATTTACCACTTTTTTAAAAATAAATTGCCCAACTGCCATGCGAACAGTAAAATTTCCTAAAGTGCCACGCGTACAAGTTTGCTACAGCAAGTAGCGAACTTCGTTTGCTGACGTGGCACATTTTTGATGGCCACATATTTTGTTACTATCGGTAGCAAACTACGTGGTCAAAATGTCAGTATGCTCTGAGCAAAAGCAGCATACGTGTCAGCCATAGAGAAGTTCGCTACGGGTCACAACAAACATGGTGTAACTGTCAGAAAAAAATAATCATTGGGCCACGTATTTGATTGTAACAAGTTTGCTTTTCAGCCTAGCGAACTTGGTGAAGTGTAGCTTCTTTTGTAGTAATGGGTCTGACACCAAGGAGAAGAATAAGACGACACATTTAGCGTAAACTAGACTCAACCTTCCTTTTACTTTCACGTTATATAAACTATGTGAATAAGAGAACATAGTGAAAGGGGGTGGAAATACATTTTGTTTGTTCCCCAAGCTAAGTAGATAAAGGTTAGAAATCAAAAATTATTTATGAGAATTAAACGAATATATCAATGAGATTTTTCCCACACGAACAACTAATTTATTTTCAATTTCAAATAAATAAAAAATAAATATTGTGAGCTTCTACATAATTCCAAGTTCCAACCTTTGCCGTAAAAGGTTGTTATAAATTATAATTCTTTGTCTTGTTTTTAGGTTTCAACCACTTGATTCATAGCTTGCAGTGTGAGAAAGAGAGAGAGCAATTCAGAGTTCAGCAAGAAAAGGCCTTCAGGATTTTCATCATTTTATAGATTCTTTTCCTTGGTGTCCATCTACACTTCACCCAAGTTTCCTAGAATGAGAAGTGAACTTGTTACAATCAGACACGTGGCCCAATGGCTATTTTTTTCTGACAGTTACACTTAGTTTGTTGTGTCCTGTAGCAAACTTCTTTCATGGCTGACGCATATCCTGCTTTTGCTTAGAGTAGACTGATATTTTGATCACGTAGTTTCCTACTAATAGTAGCGAACTAGGTGGCCACTAGAAACATGTCACGTCAGCAAATGAAGTTCGTTACCTGCTGTAGTGAACTTGTACGCGTGGTACTTTGAAAAATATTACTGTTAGCGTGGTAGTTAGGCAATTTTTTTTTAAAAAAGTGGCATATTGGTAACTGTTCCAGCCATATATATATATGGGTTTTCATTTTATCCTTTAACATAACACAACAAACTTTCCTACACTCACAACATTTTGTGGGGCCCACACTTTTTAAAACAAAAAAATAAATAAAAATTAAGGCACGCAAAACGAATCTCTATAACATTACACAATCACTTTTCCTACAACATAACTCTTATAAAACCCTATATATATATATATATATATATATATATATATATATATATATATATATATATATATATATATATATATATATATATATATATGGTCCCCAACTTCTCATTTGTAGGAGAAAAAATTTCTCCTGCAACCAATTACACTATGTACTACCGGTAGTATATATTTTTAATATTAAAGTTGGTTTTTCTCTCTCTGCCATATCAGCCGACAACCTTTGAGGATAGAGAAAAATAGCTTTTAAAATTATAATTATATACTACTCGTAGTACATAGTGTTAATTTGTTGCAGAAGAAGAAAACTTCACCTACAACATGAGAGCTATATTTCTCATATATATATATATATATGGGACTTACTGCAACTGCTGAACAAGTTCTCAAGACTTTCATTTCTCATCCTACAATCATACATGCTAAAATGTTAACATAAAGCTCAGATAAATAACAGATAATTTAGATCTATCCATATATTCCTACTTCCCCATCAGGCTCTGATACCAGTGGGTTGCGGAAGGGAAAGAGGGAAAATAAAGTAAAATATAGCAGAAAAGGAAAGCATGAAAGTAGACAGACTACTACATGAATATTAGCAGTAAATTAAAATGCAGAATTTAAAGGCATAAATAAATTTAAGGTGA